GCATGATCACCATCTTCATGAAGCTATGACAGAAGCTTCTGTCGGTCAGTCCCCTTTCCAACTGACATTGCTCTTCTGCATGAATCTTCAAGTTTGCAGCCCAACTAACCCCATGGGACTCTGGCAAAAATACAAAGAGGGCATGAGTGAGGACATCCTCCAAGGAGCTCAGTGAGAAAATACAAACCGCGACGTCAACTTTTCTGATGTCATCTTCAAGGCCCTCATCCTCCTTCAGGACAAACTGCACTCCATTGGTGGAAAAGACCTCACGTCTATGGGACTACCAACACCCTACATACAGGGACAACCTGCATGCCCTTGCTCAAGAGATCCTACATGACTTATGCTATTATTCTTTATAGCTTCTTACATTTATTTAGGAAAATTTACCAAAGCTGATGGATGCACAAATAGAAGCCTACACGAAAATCTTGGAAGACATTGACACTACAAATCGAGTCTTTTTTTTTCCTTGATGCACCTGCCAGTACTGGGAAGACCTTTGTTTTCAAACTGCTCCTCGCTAAGGCTCGCCAGCGAGAGAAAATTGCTCTAGCTGTGGCATCATCGGGGATTGTTGTGTAAGTCGATGTGTGTGTGTGTGAGTTCATATGTGTGTGCGTGTAGGTCCATGTGTGCATGTAAGTCGATGTGTGTCTGTGTCTTTTTTGCTCGGGCAACTCCAGATGTGTGTGTGTATGTCGATGTGTGTGTTTGTCTGTGCGTGTCAGTCCATGTGTGTGTGTGTTAGTCGCTGTGTGTGTGTTAGTCGCTGTGTGTGTGTTAGTCGATGTGTGTGTGTGTCTGTGCGTGTCAGTCCATGTGTGTGTGGAAATCAATGTGTGTGTGTTAGTCATTATGTGTGCGTAACTCCATGTGTGTGTATCTAAAGTCAATGTCTGTATGTGTGATTCCATATGTGTATATGTGTGTGTGAGTCTATGTATGTGTGTGTGAGTCCATGTGTGTGTGTAAGTCCATGTGTGTGCGTGGCTCCATATGTGTGTGTAAGTCCATGTGTGTGTGTGTGTCTTAGTCGATATGTGTGTGTAAGTAAATGTGCTTAGGTCGATGTGTGTTTGAGAGTCTACGTATGTGTGTGCGAGTTGCTGTATTTGTGTACGTCGATTTGTGTGTGTGTAACTCCATATGTGTGTGTATATAAGTATATGTAAGTAAATGTGCTTAGGTCGATGTGTGTTTGAGAGTCTACGTATGTGTGTGCGAGTTGCTGTATTTGTGTACGTCGATTTGTGTGTGTGTAACTCCATATGTGTGTGTATATAAAGTGGATGTCTGTGTGTGAGTCCATGTGTTTGTGTGTGTGGGTCGATGTCTGTGTGTGTGTCTAAGTCAGTGTGTGTCTTTTTCGCCCGGGCGACGCCGGGTACTTCCCGCTAGTAACTGATAAACATGCATTTCCAGGAGCAACCATGGAAGTGGAAGAAATGAAGTGCCGTTATTAAAATAGCTCTTTAATCGGAAAAGCGTCTTAAGTTGCAGCATGGAGTTCTAAGCCATTGAGCAAATTCATCCAAAATGAACTCGCTTCACAACAGTGAGCTCTCGCTTGCCTGTTGCACAAGGAGATGGAAGAGCGGCATACTTGTATTTACTGTGGGAGACAGGAAGAGCGACGTGTGAGTTTATGGAACATTGGCCCTTAAGAATATTAAGTGGGCCTGGGCAGGACACGTCGTAGCCAACCACAGGGACCATGCCTAGCTATCAACATAGCTCGGGGCAGTAGAAATAGTCCTGGCATTGGTCCAGATACATGGTATGAAACAATTTCGTTACCTCAATATAGAAGAATGCAAAAGGCTCGCATGATAACCATGGTTAAGGGACTTATGATGATGATGATGATAACGATTAATAGAATCATGCATTCCACGATTTCATTTAAATCATTATTAATGAATTCACAATCTATTGCAAAGTAATTTAAATTGATGCTATCAATGAGGGGGTGACAGGTTATCATTGCTAATGGGGGAATTCGTTTGCCATTGTTGGTTCTTCCTATTGGCAGTGCGGTGGTTTTCCCCATTGTGTTTTGGGCTTCACCGAGAGAGCCACTTGAACCGGTGTATGGTCACACATTTCAGTCAGCTCAAAATATATTTTTTTAAAGGTTTGGTTCTGATTAACCGTTTGTGAAAACCGGTTTGAACTGGTTTCAATTTGCATATCTTTCTCCCGAGTAGCCTGCAATGTAGCATCCGACTATGCGGGAGAGCAGGTGTGCAAATATGCATGGTAGCTTACATTGCAGACTCCATGGGAGAGGTCTACTTGCAAAAAAAATAGCCAATTTGAATGCGCGGTGTTGCATGCGATGTGGAGATAACGTATGGTACAATTTTCATATATAGAAGAGTCGAAACGTGACCGCATCTCTGGGCACTGTGCAAATAGTACGAGCGTGCATGGAGATAATTTAAAGTCTCAAACATTTTATTGGAGGGGAGGGGGAATGAGGGGTGGAACGCTCCAGGTGAGGACAATGATGGAACGGCTTTTGAAAAGGCGAGACTGAAATAGTTTCATGAGGTTACATACTAAAGGCGGCGGTGGCGGCGGAGAACAAGACGAAGAAGAAGACTAAGAAGAAGACTAAGAAGAAGAAGACTAAGAAGAAGAAGACTAAGAAGAAGAAGACTAAGAAGAAGAAGACTAAGAAGAAGAAGACTAAGAAGAAGAAGACTAAGAAGAAGAAGAAGACTAAGAAGAAGACTAAGAAGAAGAAGACTAAGAAGACTACCTACGTGACTTTACCGAATAGAACCAAAGAGTATGGATCCTTGCAGTCACGAAAGCTTCAAATCTAGAAAAGAAGAAGCCTAAGAAGAAGACTAAGAAGAAGACTAAGAAGAAGACTAAGAAGACGAAGAAGAAGACGAAGAAGAAGACTAAGAAGACGACGAAGAAGACTAAGACTAAGAAGAAGCTGGACTGGAACGTGGGAAGTGAAATGGCCGTACGAAGCAGCCAGAGGAGAGGTAATGGGAGTCGGCGACAGAAAAGGAGCAATCTCCAATTTAGCGGAGGTTGGGGGGGTGTCGACAGAAGGCTCGGATTGCTAAAGAAGGACGTGGACGCGAGCAGATTGAGATGAGGTGGCATCCTTTTTTTTTTACATCGGACCCTTAGCGCTACGGCCAATTGCACAACGTCGTGTTATTAGCGAAGTGTTTGAGACGTAAACAAAGGAAACCCGAGTGTCAAAATATAACCCACTCAGCGACTCGTGTGTTGCACCCTGCAACCTCTTCTCAACAGAATGCAAACACAATGCTGTGCTTTGTATCGTATTTCATACGATATTGGCAGTACTGGCGTGTGTAGCTATGGTATGTTCTTGCAAGAGCAATAATTGCCAAGTACCGTTTAAGACGACAACAACATAGCTTGGCAGTGAGTGCACTGTCATGCGTTTTGGCCATGAAACGGTGGTTTCAATCTGTTTGCTAAGCGTCCCCAAATAATGTAATGTGTGAAATGTTAATGCATTTTTTATGACTGCCATTCCTCCAAAGCAGGGGGCTAAGCCACTTAACCATGGTGATCGAAACGTATTATTATTATTGTCTTTTAAAAGGTGGCGGTCGCAAATGCCTTGGCGCGGCGAATTTGAGTCTCAGCCTGGATGAACTTTAGGGTGTGTTAACCGATTTAAATAATGCCCGATCCACAAATATGACATCACAGCGATCCACGCCACTGCTGTTGACGCGGTTGTCTGGGCTTGACCACCTGGGTGTGAAATTGTAGCTGTTGTTCAGCATTACGTCAGCAGCCGTACGACAAGAAGAAGATTAAGGACCTACTTCTAGAGCGATGGTTCTCAGAGTGGTGGCCCCCGGCTCCACAGGTGGATCCACGACGCTCCTCCAGGTGGTCCCCGTGGGGCTGTGATGTGGATGAAAGTTGATCCAAATAATAATGACAACATTTATTATCCCTTTTGTTTCGGACATTTTTTATTATTAAATGTCATGAGTAAAATACTAATTAAAGAATTTAAGGTAAACTACTCTGATTTAACTACTCTAACCCTAAGATTTAAATGCCTCCCCCCCCCCCCCCAAGCAAATATCCTACGGCTACGTTTAAAAAAACATGTTTTCTGTTCCGGTAATATGCATAATTTAATATTACTGGTATTTTGAGAGATAAGTGATTGCGTTTTTTCACCAGGGGTGTGGGTCCTGGATGGTCCGCGGAAATGTTTACACCGGCCGAGTGGTCGGGGGGCCGAAAGAGTTTGAAAATCACTGCCGTCGAGGAATGAAATTGCATCCGGGTTGCGGATTTGTGCTTGGATGTTATCCTGCACGGAGACAGTAATAAACTTCTGCCTAAACAATGAACGAGGAAAGCCGCAGTGCTCCTACCAAATGCCAACCCACGTGGATGAGGGACTGGATTTATTTCAGTCACTAAAGTGCCGTGTGACCCTCCTCCCCCCCCCCCACACTGTTGTGATTTTTTTTCCTGATGGTAGTGCAGTGGTGATTACTTGGTAATTACTTTGCATACCTTACCATTGCGCGTGGGTTAAGAAAACATTCTCAATCAATATTGTCGGCCATAACGTGGACAATGAAAGAGAACGCGTAACACGGAGAGGTGCACGCTTGGAATTATGATCAAACCAAAGTGTAAACTTTTTTTTATTTTACCAGGTATGGACCCACTGAGCTATTGAGCTCTTCTTCAGAAGCGACCTGGCCACAAATGATACCCAACGAAAGTGGCTTATCACGTGGAAACTTTTAGCAGCCAAATACTCTAAACGCGTGTTTATTCTAAAATGTGGAGGGGAAAAAAAAAAAAGGACCCAGAGAAAAATTGACGCGACCACGGGGAGAGACATGCAAACTCCAAATATGCAGGCGTCAGGGTCAGGATCGAACCCACGACTCCCTGTATACCAGGCGCCACTGTGGCTACATTTCCTTATAATAACCAGATCCTCTTGTCACCTGTAGCAAGAAGAGCAAGAAGGAAGCTGGACTTTCGGCACGTGATGGATTTGGATCAACTTCCGTCTGGTGCCTCCCACCAGGGTCTTATCAGTGCCAGCGACGATGAAAACATGGTGGGTACGATGCACCCAGCGTGGTACGGCTGTGAACCTTTGGCAGTGTCTTGATGCGTGAGTGACGTCAGCATAACCTGGTTCTTACTCCTAATCACCGTCTGCACTGGTCAGTCGGGTGACTTGAACCTGCACTTAAATTGCAAACGTATCTGCAGGAGCAATAGACTTTAATGGCATTGCGCTAATAGACAATTATTGCCAGTCTTTGCAGTGGTTATAGCACTGTTCGGCGAACTGCTTTCTGCGTAGTGCCGTTTTAACGTCGACGGCTTCAAACCGCGATAATTAATGTCAAATGCCAGCGCTATGTACAAAGTGTTCTGTTGTACCTTGTGCTTTTTGTATCAATACCAAGGTGGATGAAACGTCTTTACGCAGCACCAACGGGAAGTACCCGGCATTGCCCGGGGGAAAAAATATATTTTAAAACTTCTCAAAACTTAAAAACGTAACATATACAAATGAAAAGAGAACTTTGATCATTACCTCATTAATTTAAAATAAAATAAAACCCCTAGGTGCGGTGGAAAAAAAAAGCTTACGCTCGCGCAGCAAGATTCCGTTCTTTAAAGGTTGTAGATTTCTTTAGAATCGGCCTATTCCCGTTTAATCGATACCACAAACGCTCACCAGATATCGATTCTCGCCAGTCCTGTATGTGGGTTGACGCCATACACTTCATGGTAATTTCCCCCCTCTCCCCCCCCCCCCCCAAATACAAAAGTCTATTATTATACTTTTTGCATTGTGTACAGTCTGGAAACTACCCACATGCCAACTTTCAAGTTTGTTACATGTCGGGAAGTATGCTAAACATTTCGAACAGACATACATTCACAAATGCCCCTTTTATTACGTAGCATAATGAAAAGCTAAGGGGGGTGCATTTATTACCTATTATTATTATTGTGTACATATCTCTCCTTTGACATTTTGTTTTGGCAGAGCAGATTGAGTTTTGTTTCATAAATTTATGAATATAAGGTGTCCTTAAGTTTGACACATGGGGTGGAGTAGTCGGTGCTACACGCTATGAACTCGGCGACCTGAGTTCGATTCCCGACCACGGTCAACATGTTCTGATAAAATTTGAACAGTTCCTGGGCACGAGTCTTCACCAGCCCTCGCTGACCCACATGGTGAAGTATTGTCAAACAACCCCCCACCCCCAATTGCTGATATACTTTGGGACCTCCGTTCAGCAGTGCACTGATAAAAAGGGCTGTACAATTATTCGTTAAGTATTTTGTGTGAAAAGTAATGCAGAAAGGTGCAATTTTAGACTCGCCCCCCCCCCCCGCCATAAGAACATGGAATTTTCACTCATGGCTCGGAGCTCAAAACGAGAGGAGAGAACCGGCTCAGTGGTCATTTGAGCAGGAAATCGCTGTGTTTGACTTTGTAACTGAATAGGCATTATAATAGGGCTTTTCCCTTTTTTTCTGGCAACAAAACTGAAACCTTTTTACAAGGAATCATGTCTGCATTAACCACAATACTTGTGGTCAAAATGCAAACAAAAAAGACACTGATAATATTTGCATTGTCCTTGAAACTGATTGGTCCACACCAGAGACAGCTTTCTTTTGAGCCTCGTCTCAATTGGTGCTAGACCAGAGGACGCCGTACACCTCAAAGACGATGCGCTATCAAAGTAACGAGGCCTCGGGATAAAGCATCTAATGATGAATGAGCATTATGGCAGTGGCATCAGAAAGCAAAGACCTTTGTATAAAAAAAAAAGATTTGGCTTAAATTTTTGCATTCGTGATCATTTACAATTTATTAATTTTATTATTGAAGAAGTTTATTTATTTTTACTCTCCCACTTAAATTCCAATGGTAACATCAGCATCGGGTCAGAGAATGCTCCAACTTGGGAACTTTCGCAATCGCAGCCTTATCACCTTGGGTGAGACTTGGCGCTGGAACGTGACATCACACGGGTGTTTCCGAGGTCTCTTCCAAACGCCTCTCTATCCACACTCCAGGAGCATTCCTTCGCTTGCCCTGCAGCTCGGCAAGCAAAACACCGTAAGCCATTCTCAGAGCTGAATCGAGGCAAGTTAAATAAAGAGGAACTATATGTATAATTGTTGTGCAGTCACCCGTGACTGAGCTAAAACCTTCAAAACATTGCACTTGAGAACCCAGTTTCAACTCTTGTGCCTGAAACACAGGATCACACTCTGTTGCTGGTGCAGCCCCACTAACTACCAAAACAAATGATTGATTTAAGAATGACATTAATTTTAAAAAATGTATATGCGTTTTAAATTCGGCACCATTTCTTGTTTATAACGGGAGACACCTGTGATGTAAATTTGACTTTTAACATGTGAAGGTGCATTGTTTCCTGTCTTTAGTGTACACGGTATATCTACTGTGGAGTGATATTAGTTGTAGGGCCCTTGTCATCTGCCGTTGTCAGAGTTCTGTGGCTGCATTTAATATTTTTTTGGTAAATAATTAACGCTTTGGGAACTCTGAAATGCTTGACATGATACTGGAGGTGCTGCCTTTATCCCTTGCGTGAGGTTTGGGGGGGCATATGGGTACATTGCCGGTGAGTTGGTTTCTGATAAAACGTTATTTTAGAAAATATTTTACGGCACATGTTACAGTGTAACGCGGCAGATGGTTCCAACCTGCTCAGATGTTAATGGACTTCAGTCCTTCAACTGCCCGAGCAGCTGAAGGTTTTTTTTTGTGATCAGCTGCAAGTAATAACTCATTACGCCTCATGACCTCATTTAAACTCGGCCACCCTAGTGCATTGGTCCATGGGGCGTGCACAAATGCGCTCATCAAAATGGAGGGAAATTGATACAAATGTTATTTTTTTAAAGCAGAGTTACTCGGGGGGAAAAAAATGTTTTTGCAAATGTAATCAACTGCCTAACCCAAATTAGAGGGACGAAGTCGGTGTGGCATGGGCTAAAGAAGAGATGGGCTGATGTTGGGCAGGAGGACCGGGAGATTGTAGACCTGTTGGAGACTTGTACCAGGGGTGTTAAGATCAGCCTTTGTGTAGGAGGCTTACTGGGCAGTTGGAGACCGAGTCCCCCTTACGATTATACTAGGTACTCATTTGAGGCTGAGTCGATCTAGGGGAGGCCCATGACTGGCTCAGATAATCGTCACCGGTTTTGGCCGTGAGCGGGGATCGAACTTGGGTCGCCGGGTTCGTAGCGCAGCGCGCTAACCACTACACTACTGCTCCCCCCACACACACACGTGCGTGCGTCCATAGGTACACATACACGCGCTTGCTGCAGACACACAACTTTCAGGGTGCGTACGACAGTAAACGGCTCAAATAATAAACCAATGCTGCGTGAAGAACGCCTTAGACCTGGAACACATTTGTATGGGACTTTACTCGCGGAGGGTTGGGGGGGGCGTGACGTCAGCAGGCACACTGCGTTACGCTTCCGCATGCGGGTGACATGACAGAGATGTGACGTCACAGCTCACTTGCCGTGCAATATATCCATTATTGCGCCCCCCCCCCCCAAGTCTATTTTAATATTTTTTTGCATGGTATACAGTCTGGAAAGTACCCACATGCCAAATTGTTGCATGTCGGGAAGTATGCTAAACATTTCGAACAGACACATAATCACAAATTTCCCTTCTATATAGATTACGCAGTATACATTACACGGTTATGATCAGCAACACGATATACTTTTGACACAAATGGCAAAATGCTTCCGTTGTACCCTCTGTTAGTCACAATTGGCACACGGACATTGCCGTGTGGACAAGTCTAGATTTGAGCAGATTGTCACATTCCTGAGGCTCGCCACACCTCGCTGCTGGGCTCCATAGCAGCCCTGTACTTCAAGTGAACAACAGCTGAGATCGCGGTGTGCCCACCCGCTTTGGGCAACCTGTCAGGAACAGCCAGTTCTATTTGTTTCTTTACGTATTTAATTATTTTCTAACTAAACAGAGAGGCAATAGGATGTGGCATACACTACAACTAAATAAAACAAATATATCAGGTAAAGCACACTGAGCTATCTAGCTCTTTTCAGAAGCGACCTGGCCACAATTGATAGCCCAACGAAGTGGCTTATCACGTGGAAATTTACGGCAGCCGAATACACTAAACGCACGTTTCTAACTGTGGAGGAAAAACCGGTGGATCTGGAGAAAAATCCACGCGACCACTGGGAGAGAGACATGCAAACTCGAAATACACAGCAAGCATCAGGGTCGGGATCAAACCCGCAACCTCCTGCATACCAGGCGAGGTATTTAACATCTAGCCACCATGACACACTCTCTGCTTGACCGACGGCCATGCGCGTAATCACGGTGTGCTCCTCGGCTCTGATCTAGGAAGCAGGGAAAACCAACCAGGCAAGAGTACGAGAAAGAGGGGAGAGGAGGGAGGAAGAGGAGGAGGAAAGGAAAGTGAGGAAGGCGGAAATAAATCGCGCAATTGAGGGAAGGAAAAAAAATCCGTTTCTGGAAGGAATTAATGAAAGGGGGGCGGGGTGGTGGTGCTGGTCGAGCCATCACTCACTCTTTTTGTTGTATTGTTTTTTTTTTATTTCAACTCAACGTGAACCCCCGGTATAGAGCTCCGATCACAACAAGAAGTGGGTGGGGGGGGGGGGTGGTGCAAAAATTACGCCAACAAAAACCCCGAGATCGGGCGCGGCAGGGCTTCTCGAGAAAATGGGGGTAGATTGGTGGGGGGCGCTCTAGCAGAGAAGTGAGCATTTATATTGGGGGGCGGGGGGGCGGGGGTTGGAAAGGTGAAGGGGAGAATCTGTCGGGCCAGTCTTAGAAACACAGCCACAGTGGCAATGCAGAAGGCCACGCTCAGCCCACTTACGAGCTCTTGGGTTAGGAGAAGTTGGTGCCCTCGTGAATCATTTAAACGTACCACTAGTCAGAATTTTGACATTAGTCAACCGCGGGGTCCGATGTGAGACGAAACGTTAACCGAAAAACTGTTAACCGATGTCAATGTTAACCGAGGCACGACTGTAAAAACAGAAAAATACGATGGCACACCAAAGGCGGCATCCGTTGTGGCAGCCCGTGCAAGTGCTCGGGTGTGTACGCTCTCTGTTCCTCGAAAATTTTCTATTTGTTTTCTGTAGCGAGGCGCAATTTTTTTGCAGGTGAAAGTAATAATACACGCCAGTCAAGAGTTTTAACATCATTACTTTAGGCAGCAGCAGCAGGACCTTGAGACAACCGTATATCTGTTTCATCATTTGTAGAAGTCATCAGTATATTATGGCAATGTCTTCCAGTTGAACGGAAATTCGGTTTTAACATGAACACAGCACTGACGTTTGGCACAACCCTTGGGCATCGATCGAAACTCCATTCTCATGTGGCAAAAAAATACCTTGTGACCTGGACCAGCCGTCCGGGGGCATTAGCTAGCTCCAAAAGCACTTCCTTGGACAAACCCATCGGAGCGCAGTAATAAACCAGACCCAACTTTTGCTTGGTTCCTGAGCTCTACTGGGATTTACAAAAAAAGCACCACTTTGTGCTGTGGCTCTAAGCCCCGAGGGTCGGCTGGAGTGTCGCGTTGCCTCGAGTGCTCTTAGCAGCCACAGCCTGTCAGTGTGCTTCTTGTTCTCCACTCGACTCGTCTGACTGTTGACCACCCCCACTCCCACTCACCAACTCTACTCTGGTGAGTTCAGTTACTTGCCATGGCTGGGGGTGATGACTCAATGCCAGAATCGATTCTGCTTTGTCGGGTTTGTACTGTCCCAGTTGGTCACGTGTTCTTCTTCAGTGTTTTTATTGTTCATAGCCTAAAGGTGATGTCTTTTATTTAGTTGGCACTCGTCGTAAATATTTCCGTTGAGTCAAATGAAATTAGATCCGTGCCATCAGCACTTCTGTTTCAGCTTGGATTTATTTATTGATAAAAAAATTGTATTGACACAGTTTAATTTACATGCCCAGTACAGGTAGTCCCCGACTTAGGATGGAGATGCGTTACGACGACCCCATCGTAAGTCGAAAATATCGTAAGTCGAAAATGGCCTAGCCTACCCTGGAGTCTTAAAGAATGGTGATAATTTATCAAAACAGAGCAATTTACAGTACCGTACTGTATAAACTATATACTGTATGTATTTATTAATTACAATACTGTATTGCACAGTAAAATTTAAAGTAAAAAACAAGGTAAATTCTTAACCTACCTATATGAACTGCAATTTCATGGAAAGTTGTTTCAGGAAACAATCCTATCTGCTAAAAAAAACTTTTAACATGCATTGAACGTATGTATCGTATCGTGGTAACCCTAAAATGAAATCGCTAAAGCTACGTATCATACATGCATTGAACGTATCGTAACGTATCATATTCTACTGTACTCACCAAGATTATGTCCGTCGTCTGCATACTTGAACGATGTTAGGTTGTTGATGGCCACATTAACTTAGTTGTCGGAAGAGTAGGATGGCGATGATAAAGTTACAGCATCGTACCTCGTACGCTGCTGCGTTTGCCTGCCGCGCGAAATAAAAAATATTTTACAATTTTGTCATATCGCTATCGCCATCGTAAGTCGGGGACTACCTGTATCTGATATCCGCACCTCTGGTTGGCACGGTTGGCTACGTACAGTGCGAAAGAAGTTCAACACACATATATTGCAGGTGGTTCGATATAACGTTGCATCTCAAGACCGTGAGAGATGGCGACAGCTTGGGGAGGCCCCAAATCCAGCAGTGGATAAATCATTACTGCTGATGTACGTTGAACTTCTTTCGCGCTATGCATAGCCAACCGTGCTAATGGGAGCTGCGGGAAAATTGAAGAGAAGCATCGGTAAAGGGCTTTATTTGTATTGTTTGCAGTCAGCTAGCATAACCTGCATCTCATTAAACGAGATTTCATTGATGAATGGCTTTTATAGAACAAAGAGAACATTCATAAGCCTTCAAGGTTTCTATTGATAAAATCGCAGCTGAACATTGTTCACATGAAAGGAAACTGTGGGAGATATACTCTCTACTTGATGCAGGCCGACCCCAGTGAAAAGTAGTTATTCATTCCCACACACCTTCTGATATTGAACCTGCTGAAAACAACACTGTTTTAGCATCATCCGCATACCTATAAACAATAGAGGTTTTTTGGGTTAGATCGTGTAAATATAAATGTATTGTTAAACCCGCTACCATCAATCAATATGGCACGCCCCTTTCTCTTCATCAGCTTCACTTGCAATCCCAAATCAAAGGAGATCCAGGTTTACCTTTATCCAAACCAAAAGCCATCAGACAGACAGGACATCTTAGCGAGGCTCTTAAAACGCTAAGTTTATGACTCATGATGCTTATTACGACCAACGAAGGCGGCGTCTTTGGATAGACAAGCAGTAACTTGCACACCATTGGGCGGCAAAAACGTTGTCTTCCTCATGCTCACATTGGTGCTAAATACCTCACGTCTATGGGACTACCAACGCCCTACAGGGACAACCTGCATGTCCTTGCTCAAGAGATCTTACGTGAAATATGCTATTATGCTTTACAGCTTCTTATATTTATTCAGGAAAAATTTACCAAAGTTGATGGATGCACAAATAGAAGCCTACACAAAAATCTTGGAAGACATTGAGACTATACATCGAGTCTTTTTTTTCCTTGATGCACCTGCCAGTACTGGGAAGACTTTTGTTTTCAAACTGCTCCTGGCGAAGGCTCGCCAGAGAGAGAAATTTGCTCTAGCTGTGGCATCATTGGGGATTGCTGTGTAAGTCGATGTGTGTGTGTGTGTTTGAGTCCATATGTGTGTATGTTTAGGGCCATGTGTGTGTAAGTCGATGTGTCTGTGTCTTTTTTGCTCGGGCAACGCCAGATGTGCGTGTGTGTGTGTACGTCGGTGTGTGTGTGTGTGTAAGTCCAAGTGTGCGTGTCAGTCCATGTGTGTGAGTCGATGTGTCTGCTAGTCGATGTGTGTGCATGGCTCCATGTGAGTGTGTAAGTCACTGTGTGTGTACGTCGATGTGTATGTGTGTGTAAGTCCATGTGTGTGTAAGTCCATGTGTGTGCGTGGCACCATGTGTGTATGTAAGTCCATGTCTTTGCATCTTAGTCGATATGTGTGTGTGTAAGTGCATATGTGTGCTTATGTCGATGTGTGTGAGAATCTACGTATGCGTGTGTGTGAGTCGCTGTATGTGTGTACGCCGATTTGTGTGTGTAACTCCATGTGTGTGTATCTAAAGTGGATGTCTGTGTGTGTGAGTCCATGTGTGTGTGTGTAAGTCGATGTGTTTGTGTGTGTGGGTCGATGTGTGTGGGTCGATGTGTGCGTGTCTTTTTTGCCCGGGCAACGCCGGGTACTTCCCGCTAATATTAATTATGGGTGTGTTCCTAGCAAATACCCAAGCGATTCAGAGGTGAATAAGGTACCAGTCAATACATAAATGCAAAGGTTAGTGTTTGAGATATAAAGCCATCATGGTCAAGCTTTGGGCTAAAACTCACCTTACAAAAGGAATACCCCATATATTTAGACGGTACGAGCTATGCACGTGGCCTGCAGTCCAGCACCGTGGCGGGTGAGGGTTGGTGCATCCACACAAATGTTGTGAAACCACCTTTCCGTGGGCGTCGAGGTACCATTCGCACCTCTGATCAGCACGGTCGGCTACGTGCGGTGCGAAACAAGTTAAACACACATACACACATCACCCTGGCTTGCCAGGAGAAGGCGGTATGGCAAGTGTGGACTTGTGGGAATAGAGCATTCCCCCCTCGCACAACGTGGTGTATTCCCCAGCAGGTGCTCTGGTTTCCTGCCACCGGAATTAATTGACCATTCCCCTTCGCCCTCCCCCCCACCCTGTGCCGCGCGCAGACCGTGTTCGGCTTCCGCCACGTGCGCTGGCGGCAGGCGCTGGTGGTGCTGGGAGCCGTGCTGTCCTGTGGCTTCCTGTTGCTGCTGCTCTACTGGCACCCGCGCTGGCGCGTGCGCTTGCAGTGCGTGCCCTGCTCGCTGGCCGAGGCCGACGTTCTGCTCCTCCGCACGACCGTGAGCACCATCGCACACGTGTCCGTCCATCTGTGTCGCGTGTCTGGCAATCTATATCGCGTTTCTGTCTGTTTCGTATGTCCGTCCGTCTTACGTGTCTATCCATCTATTTAACGTGTCTGTCCATCTCGCTCGCCTATCTGGTGAAGCAGCGGGTTTTACACACCACGTTCTGGTAACTCTTCTCGCCCAGCATCTTTTTCTTTACTCCTGAATTGACGTTGCAGTTGGATTTGATGCCTTACCAATTGCCACATTGATTGGAGCGTTTAACACTCAGCCGATCCACGACTGACAATCCTGGCCTATCGTCTCACCTGGGTTGATAAAACGAGTACCAATTTGTTTGAAGTCAGCAAGTCATTATCTGATGAAGACACTTGGTTTTCTGCCATGGGAATTAGGAATTTCCACCACTGGCTCAGGGCTGCCAATGGAAACGAGTGTTTATTTTCCCAGCGTATAAACACCTTTCAAATTTTGACTTTCAGATTAATGTGAAGAGTCCACCGAATTGGAAGCATTGTAAAATAAAATATATGACCTATGTGACTGTGGAAGGTGTACGTCACTTACATGGATGAAAAGTTTGGCCCCACGTAAAAATAAGTTTGGCTAATAATTTTATGTCAATACACGATAGTTTGACGGTTGATCCTCATGGTGGCACCCCGGGGTACCAAATAATACAAAATGGCCGAGGCAATTAAATATTTTATTTCTGGGACACTATTTTCTCCAGGGGTGTGCTGAACTCCGCGACTGGGGTACAAATCAATCCGAAATCAGTGCTACTCCGCAATGTCGAAACGCCAAACATCACCATAACAAATATCCGTTATCGTAAAATTCAACTTTGAATAGTGCATCGTGTACAGCTCGTCGAGATGAGCCGATTGCCGCATCGCTGAACATCAACAGACTAAAAATGACTGCATCACGGACATTATGCGAGAGCCGGGGTACTTTGGTACCCCGGGGTACTGCCTGGGGTGTCAATAGTGTCGTTTAAAAGAGACGCAAAAATATTATTCTTCCCCTCTGCACAAGTACATAGGAATGATGTCTTGCAGGTGCCATGTTATATATTTTGTTCATGAAAAGTTTGGGGACTGTTATCGGTGGTCAAACACAAATGAAAGAACTCGCCATATTAGCCAAGAAGCAAGACCTTACAGCAGCAAAACGTGGACTGTAATGGGGTGACATTCCAGGCAGTGACCCTTCTTCAGAGCAGAGGCAGAAAGAGAGGGCAGAGATATTTGACCGACTTGTAGTTGGAGATGGCAACTTACACTTCGCTGGCCCTGAAACCACGGGGACATTTAAATAAAAAGCTTAACACATGTAGGCCTTCCAGACCAATGTTGGCTGTCACTTGATGAGGCTGGTTGTAATTGCCAGCGAAATGTCGTACTCGAATGATAAATATTGTGGATTTACTCGCAAGTACACCGGTATGCTGAACTAGTAACTAATTGGCATGTTTTGGTTATGTAACAAAGCTTACTAATGGCCTGCGTCGGGTGGTAGCGGGTTTAACGACACATTTATATTTACACGATTGAGACCAAAAAAATAAACCTTTATTATGGAAAAAAAAACATTTTACAAACGAACAACGTTCTGCGTAATCTCGATTTTACGTGCAGGATGAGTTTCAGACGTGGTCGAGGCAAAAGGTGGATTGGCTGAAGCTGCGTGAGAATTCCCACTTGGGTGGCGGTGGGGATGAGGCCCTGCGTGTCGACTTCGCGTTGGTCGCCAGCGGAAAGTCGCAAATATTCTCGTCCCTGCACCAGCCCGAAATGAAGGTGAGTGCGGGTGTCGCGCATCACTGATGGTGTCTGTCATTGGTGGCGAGATGTTAACTACCACGCCTGGTATGCAGGAGGTCATGGGTTCGTTCCCAACCCTGACGCCTGTATAGTTGGAGTTTGCGTGTCTCTCTCCCCGTGGTCGTGTGGATTTTTCTCCGGGCCCTCCGGTTTTCCCCTCTACATCAACGAGCCATCATTCAAGTGACATGAGTGGTGTTGCGAGCCGCCCGCAGTGACTTGTGCCCCACGCGTTTCACCGTGTTCCTTCCTCGTTGCTCGCATCACACACCCTCGCGTCTCACTCACTTAGCTTGTGAGTTTTTTCTAATCTACCGTCTCCGCCCTGCAAATTTCAACTTGCAACCATCTAAATGGCAGAGGTTTTCGGCTGGAATATTAAAAGCGTGTGCATGCGCGCGTGCATACTGGGAGCGGTAGTGTAGCGGTTAGCGTGCTACGCTACGAAGTTCGATTCCCGCTCTTGGCCACCAACACCAGTGATGATTATTTAAACCGGTCCTGGGCCTCCCCGTCGTCGACTCGGCTTCAAATGAATAACTGGTGATGTGTGTAATCATTTCCATGAGCCATACAAAGACGCCCGGGCGTGGTGCTGGCCACCCACCCCCCTCGTGTGCCGTGCCGGCCTTCGTAGGTGCTCGCTAACAGCACTTGCCTCAACAGTCTGTTATGGTTACACGGGGGATCTTCGTCTGCGTGTGATGTACTAAGCCCTCCATTGCAATCGTAATGCGATGCACTATGACACTCCCCGTCTTCAACCAGCACCGACCAGTGTGGTGAAGTATGGTCAAATAACCCCCATGGACCCGCATGCCATGGAGAAGCCCACATCCAGCAGTGGATTGACAAAAAGGCTGTACACGTCTGCAAACTCACATCCCAGGAAACAGGGAATGTTGGGCCAACGGTTGCAGTCGCGTGCCAACGTTGGCCCAACGTTGGCACGTTTACTGGGATATTATCTCTCTGCTGATACGAACGTGACAACATACCCGGTGGCTCAGCAGTGGAGCGAGCAGTTCGCAATTGGTTGCGAGTTCAACTCTCGGCATCATCCCTCCGGGGTCAATATAGTGAGTACCAGTTTGTGGGGAAGACAACCAGTGGCTGTCCTTTGGAGAGGCTTGCCTCCTCCATAGGAATGTGGAATTTCCACCACCGACACTGGGCTATGAACAGGAGATGAGCACTGCCTCAGTGTGAGTGTGCGCACCTCATTTGAGCACTGTGGGTTTGTAAACTGGCCTATGAACCCAATGTCGCTGAGTTCGATTACCGGCCACAGATAGATGACGTCTGTGGCGAGTGATCTCCAAACCGGTCTCCCCCCTCCCCCACCACCTTCACCAAACCTGGTGAAGTCTGGTCAAGCAACCCCGGTGACCTTACACGGCGTGGGGAGACCTTCATCCAGCGGTGGATTTTTTGGCACCGGTCTGTAAGTCAGAATCAGAATCTTTACTTATACTGGAGGAATCCGATGAGCTATAAAGCTCTCTTTCACAGATGTCCTATTATATTAATTATTATAAGTCAATATTATTTTCATATTTAATGTGGACATGTAAACACTGCTGGTTGGTGCCGTAAACACAAGGCATGTCGTGGCTGTGCCGGCAGAGGAGAGCACCAGAAACACCCTGCGCGTGTTTCTATTGTCTGACGCGAGACCTCATGTCCAATTTGGGCGATCAAATTCCACTTCCTTCCCCCCCCCCCGAACCTTCTTCTCGCTCCCCCCCCCCCACCAGTTCTTGTTGGTTTGGTTTGTTACAGTTTAATTTGGGAGTGTGCTGACAGAGAATAGCTTATTAGGTGCAGTCATTGTGGGTGTGATGGCACTGTGGGTCTGTAAAAAACAAAAGATCCCCACCCCCTGCCCCGTGACTTTACCCAATAGAACCAAGGAGTATGGATCCTAGCAGTCACGAAAGCTTTAAATCTAGAGGTGATTATATATTCTGAAAGGGGTATGGCTTCACATCTTATAGAGGGGGGAGTTAACATATTTAATACTTGTATGGAGATTGATGGGAGACGTGTAGAGGTGTTGACATAAAACGTTGTTTTCTCCATAATAACTTCTACCCGATTATTTTAGCGGGGTATCTATAAATCGATTGCCTGGTATTACAATATAGGCTCGTACTAAAACTGCGCCTGTTTCGCTGGTGTCTCTACAGATCCGTTACTTTAATCATCAGAAGATTCGCTACGTTTGGAACGTGAAGATGGAGAAATTTGAAAGACTGGGGTAAGGGTCGCGAGATATCCACACGTGACATTCATGTCATCAGTATAGAGCCATTGTGAAAAGTACAGTAAAACCTTGGATTGCGAGCATAATTCGTTCCGGAAACGTGTTTGTAATCCAAAGCACTCGTATATCAAAGCACTCGTATATCAGTTGTGATCACGTGACGCTCGGCAGACAAAGCGTATACGTACTACTCGTACTGCCAGACCTCGCTCGTTTATCAAATTAATATTTATATTCTTGGTTCTTTTGGTAAAGTCACGTATAAGGGAAACAATAAAATAATAAAAATATAAAACAATAAAATTCTCACGACGTTTCGACTGGTTTTCACACCTGATGATTATTGCTTGTGTTACAGTCGAAACGTCGTGAGAATTTTATTGTTTTCTATTTTTATTATTTTATTGTTTCCCTTATACGTGACATTACCGAAAGAACCAAGAATATGAATCCCTGCAGTCACGAAAGCTTTAAATCAAAAATTTATATTTATTTAAATTTTTTGCTCGTCTTGCAAAACACTCGCAGACCAAGTTACTCGCAATCCAAGGTTTTACTGTATTCAGAAATTGAATATTGTTTAGAAACGATCCAGGGAATTGTATTGTTGCCATTGAATCAGGGCCCTCTATCAATAACTACCAGGCCGTACGTGGGCTGCTGCCATGTAGGGTAAAGGAGGCCTAGAAAAAGTTGCTTTTATTTTATTTAACTCTTAACAACTATTACTGCTATTATTTCCCGCACCTCCGACTAGCACGGTTGGCTGCGTAGGGTGCAAAAGAAGTTCAACATACTGAATTTGCGTTCCAGAGGTCACCGCTTCAATTTAAATCGCCCAGCACGTGAGTTGAATCAACAGGGCAAGTTTATTATATTCCTTTCTCCATTCGCCTCTGTCCAGCCAACAGCAGTGTATATATACATGGGTGGGATAAAGTGTGGATTCTCTTCCATGTTAACCAGGACATCTGGTTAGCATGGGACAGTAGGTCCAATACTCTCTAGAAGGTCTTTCCAATGCTCGAGACGCCGGTGTACGTCAGCAAGAGCAGCTGATGTGAATGCTGTCGCAAGAGGGTCATATGTTTGGTGCAACGGTCCTTCGCTGACTACGTGTGATGAATGAATGATTGCTCTCCAAGAGCTCCCTAATATTTGGAGGCCCTTTCCCCTCACAGTGGTGTGAGCAAGCAATTGCAGGGCTGCACCTTGACATTTTTACCTTTCTTATGAGCTTGGCCTTGTCTGCCAGGCAAGTGCAGTTGTCATCTGAGCTTTCCGCCAAGGAGTCTTTCAAGGTGGAGATTCCCCCGCGTGATATTCGCTAGTCTACAGTTGTATGATAATTCGTTTGATTCTAAACAACGTTGTACAATTTGCGATGCTCGTAACAAAAGAAACACGTGCTTGTCGTTAACATGACTAATAACGGTGGCGAATATTTGAACAGGTCCTGGCCTCCCCTAGGTCAACTCAGCCACTTATAAGTACCTGGTGCGATGTGTAAACATCACCACTGGGAAGACAAAGGCGGCCGGGCGCGATGCTGGCCACCCACCCTCTCGTGTGCCATGCCGGCCTTCATAGGCGCCCGCTAACAGCACTTTACCTAGCAGACTATATGGGAAATATTTGTCTTTGTCTGTATATATAATATGTATTTTTATTTACGCAGTGGACTGGAGAATACCCTCACCTGTACGGAGATCCACGATCAATTTGGGAAGGGCCTCGATCAGTCGCAAAGAGATTTGAGGTATCCGTTTAATTTGTTTTGTACCTGTCACTGAATTCCAGTTAATTTTAACTCACAATAACCATTAGTGTCATTGTGCAGAATATAAAGAACAAAATAAGCAAGCATGCAATGTCTCATTCATGTCATCAGCCGTGATATATCCACTGCTGAATTGTTAATTGTGAGGTTGCCTAACTTGTGGAACTGTCCCTTTTATTATAAATATCCCTCAGGTCTACCTTGCAAGGCAAGAGACTTTAGTCTCAATGAACTTTCACTTGGCTATATATTTAAAGGATGTATCGACGTAAATTACACATGTGCCATTTGTTGAATGATGTAAATTACAGTAATACCTCGATATTTCGGTTATTTGATCATTCATTATTGGGGATAATTCGGCACGGCTGCAATTTCAGCATACATACAGTGTTAGAAATTCGCCTTGAGCCGAATTGTCGTACCGAATGGGCCAATTTCGGCAGACACGTGGAGCGACGCCGCACACCACGACCAGAACAATGTCTCGGTCCTTTGGCGGCACGCGTGGTGAGCGTGAGTGCAGACCCGTCGCTTTAGACTTTACCTTGTTTGTGCACTCTGTGCAAGCCAACCACCTCGGAAATGTCGCCTTACACCGACATCAAGAAGTAATAGAAAGGGACTGAAGTAGAATTCCCTTAGTCTGCGAGACAAATCTGAAGTTGTGGATATAATTGATGCAGGGTGTGTGTCAATTCGTATGGTGCGTGTGAAGAGTTTGAAAACAAATTTTGAAAAAAAAAAATTTGGGGCAGGAGGCACTGGGGAGTACCATTGCAGATAATTCGGAATATTGGATAATTCGGCAAGGTCAGAGCCCCATATGTGTCGAATTAACAAGGGTTTATTGTGCACATTTATGATCGTGAAATTGTCTCCCAGGTGCGGTGTGGTGTCGTTGGGGCTGATGTTGCGTGTTGCTCTCCGTTCCCAGGAAACTTGTCTATGGCCTAAATCTCATCGACATCCCAGTACCCCCCATGTGGAAGTTACTCTTTAAAGAGGCAAGTACTATCGGCGCATCGATGAGAGAATTGCACCACCAGGAGAGGTCAATTTCAAGGGAGAAAATGACAGGATTAGTTTTACGTGGTGTTGTAAATAAACAATACATTATCTTTAAAACAATGTATTCCATCTGAAAAGTAAGAAATAAAAGTGTAAATTTTTTGTCAACTACATTTCGGAAGCATTATATCTGGATAAACACGGTGCCAAAGTAGATCATTTGGATGATCATATCTTCTTCACGTCGTTTGGTTAAGATGGCGATGGTGGCATTGCGACCGAATAGCCTGTGGCTTTCTCCCCAAAGTGTGCGCGGATTGCGAATGATGAGATCCCGCGGTGTTTCCTTTCTGGCAGGTGCTCAACCCCTTCTACGTTTTCCAAGTGTTCAGTGTGTGCCTGTGGTTTGCGGAGTCCTACATGGAGTACTCGTACGCCATCATCGCCATGACTCTCATATCTGTGGGCCTCTCCATCTACACCGTGCGCAAGGTGATGAGACGGGCAGAGTGGCAACTCTGCTGGAGGAAGGCGGGGTATGCACGTCAAGTTTGAGGACATTGATGTTTCACATTTATTCCCAAAGAAAAAGTAATGGCCAGTGGAAATGGCAATCCCCGCTCCTTGCTCCTTTTAATTCGCTTGGCGTTAAGCTACGACTCCTGGTCCGATGATTCTCACATGGTGATTCTGGAGGTTTGCAGAAAGATGACGCGAGTAGAGAGAGGACGATTGAAAGTTAACGCCTGGAGGTCACAACGGCAAGTGTTCGCCACGCAGTGTAACTGTGCTAGCTAAATCGCCCTGCGTGCAGCCGTTAAAAAAACTGCGGAGGACTGAGTGTACACTGCAGCCTGACGCGCTCAGGAGCGGCTGCCACAGTGTACCGGGCAGAGAACAACGGCTGCCCCAAGTCACGTTCTAACCCTAACTGCTCGGGCACAATATATACTTATTATTTGCACATTCAGTTATTTATTACGTTTTGTTTACCCACGAGAGCCTCGGTGAGTCTTTTTCAGGAGGTGCTTGTCAAGTTTTTGTTTTACTTGCGGGAGTGCTGGGCAATGATTGCTACGTCTGTTCCAACTCAGAACAATTTGAGATGCATTTTTCACATTTGGACCATGACCGCCGGCACACGATGGCCTAGCCTTGCGAACGACAAGCGGCGAATGCGCTACCACTTGGCCGCATCACTGCCGTGTAATTTTGCATGTGTGTATGTTGAATTTCTTTCGCGTCGTACGTAGCCAACCGCGCTCATTGGAGGTGCGGGGGAAGGACAACAAATGGAACACAAAAGACAGTTATAAAGAAATGAGATTTCAATCTACATTTAAAAGTGCAAAGCTCCAGTGGCGTCCTAATATCGGAAGGAAGAGCATTCCAGACGGCCGCAGGAGCGCATCTGAACATGTGCGATGCAGTTGTCTGTTTTTGTTCAATGGCCGAGGCAAAAGACGCTTTCTCTCCTTTCCCTCCTCCTAGCAAGCAGTGGCATTGAACAAGATGGTCAAAGAGCACAGCAACCTCCCTGTGACGATACTCGGAAGAGACGGAAGTAAGGCCTTGCTTTGTGTGCAGTGCAATGGAACTGAGGTGACTGTTCGTATTTGTTCGTGTGCCGTTGAAAACGTAATAATTTCCACTTTTAAAGTGATCGTGCTGTCGGCATGGTGTCACGAAACGAGGAATCCATTCGCAGCTTCATCAGAGCAGTGCAAAATGTCAACACAGTCTGCAAATTTTAACTTCTTAGCTGGGCAGTGGTGGCGATAATGCGTGCCTGTAAACCCCGCAATGTGGAGGTAGTGAGGAGGGTTTGAGGATCGGACGAATGGAAAAAAAAGTTTGTGAGACTCCCTTCTCGTGGGCAATACCCTGGCCTGCCAGCAGAATCATCGTCATCACGATCCATGGGCAGATAGCTCCGTGGGTGTCCATCTGCACATTTCGTCATTTGTTTACACCCTCCTGCCTTGTACTAATATGCTCACGCGCAGTGCCACATCTTTCTGGCAGGATGCAGTACAGCAAATTGTAGACTGATATCATCTGTCCCTTCTGTATTGGGTGGAACGTTGTCCCCTCGCATGCGTGTGTTTTCTGGGGTGCTCAGGTTTCCTCCCACATGTGGTACGAACACAAATTGGTGTGAAAAAAATCTTGATGTTCCAGAGAACTTTGTTTTTGTTGTCAGCTCACTGCCTGGCAGCCTTCCAGCTTGGTCTGCTGTTCCACAGCGATGGTCAGATGAAACCCCCGCATCTCCGATTAGCAAAGAAGTTCAACGTACAGGGACTCCTCTAATTGCGGTCATTCGACTTGTGAACTTTCATATATACGAACAAACCTATCCGTATGTCCAGTTTGCCTGTTCGGACCGGGAGTCTTAAGTTCAACCACCGTGCAATAGATGGCGGTGGTGGTATCTACATCTGCAGAACGTGAAGAACCGGTGGCATCTACATCTACAGGAGATTATGCGACTTTTAAAGCCATTCCCAATGTTTAGTGTGCACGCCGTACAACACGTTTGGTAATCGACAGGAGTAAAGTTGGACTTGCGAACAAATCGACTTAAGAACAGACCTGGAACCTAACCCGTTCGTAAGTAGAGGAGTCCCTGTACGTACATACTTACAATTTGTAGATACTTTCAGGTGTATATTTTTGTATTATTTTATCCACCCACACACAGGGGCACATTTTGCCATCGGGCCCTGCTATGAGAGACACGTAATTATTAATGTGACAGTCGAACAGATATTTGACATTCTCAGAGTTAGAAAATAGCCAAACTTAGTGAATTATCAAAATGAAATATGAGCGGGCCTGAGCCCATCAACTCATTGCAGTTGCCAAACCGGTTTGATCGTGGGGTAGCCGCCTGGATACTCTAAATACGGCGCGAAAGAAGTTCAACATACATACATACAAACATACATATGTTGCACGTCTAGTTTTGACACGGTTATAGTGAGACCTTGAGTTGACGTTCCCTGGATAGGCAAGATGGGTACCTCGCCTGGTGTACAGATAGTCGTGGGTTCGACCCTGACGCCTGCTGTATATTTGGAGTTTGCATGTCTCTCTCCCCATGGTTGCATGAATTTTCCTCCGGGTCCTCCAGTTTGTTCCTCCACACTTAGAAACACAGAGTATTTGGCTGCTATAAATGTCCACGTGATAAGTCACTTCTCTGAGCTATCATTTGTGGCCAGGTCGCTTCTGAAAAAAAGCTATTAAGCTCAGTCGGCGGCCTTACCTGGCAAAATAAAAAAAAAGTTTCGTTTCATATTTAGGATAGCGCGTACTGTTTTATGTAGCTGATATTGCCTACAAATGTCAGTTGGCACAATACGTGGGCATATCATCTGTTTGGGAACGCTCTGGTGAACTGGTTGATGTGTAAATGAATGAATCTGCTTTCACAAAACAGGACGTTGCATGCCCCGCCGGGGCAAATATCGTGTTGCTTTTTCCGTTGTCAAGAAATAAAATTAGCAATTTCCTTACTATCCGTACAGATAAGACGATTAAGCTGGTGGAGTCCAGTGCTTCGCTAAATACAAGTAAAATTGTCTCCCTGCTCAGAGGGGTATTGGATGGTACTCGCCTAATTTTCTTGCCCTGAATCAGTGGTGAACAAAAAAATTGTCTTTGCACCACAAAGTGGTACTTGGACTATTATTTTTTTTTTTACAGGATAAGGCCCAATGAGATATATAGATATTTTTCAGAAACGACCTGGTCACAAATAACAGCTCCACGAAGTGGCTTATCATCATGTGGAAATTTAAAGCAGCCAGATACTATAAACGTGCGATGTTGATGCTCTTTGTGGAGGGAAAAACCGGAGCACCCGGAGAAAAATCTGCGCGACCACGGGAAGAGAGGCACACAAACTCCAAATATACAGCAGACGTTAGGGTCGGGATAAAACCCACGATCTCCTGTATACCAGACGAGGCCCTTAGGCGCCCTTATGTCAATCGAACCTCACGGGATGATGGGCTGAGTAGATTTCTTCTCATTGTGTTTTGAACCGCCAGTCCTTCCTCATTGTGAGCTAAGTACTTAACCTTAAACATAGTCTACGTGGCCAGATAAATAACAAAATAAGATGGGCCGTCCTCTGCGGCGCGGGAGTGACCGCAGCACGTGTGCGTGCTTCCCTCAGCCAGCAGAGACACGACCTCCACCGAGGTGGTGCCGGGGGACACGATAACTTTCCCCAGCAACGGGGGGATAATGCCGTGCGACGCCGTCCTCGTATCCGGCTCCTGCGTCGTCAACGAGAGCATGCTCACAGGTAAAGCTGCGGCGGCCTGGGCCCCCTCCGGCCCCGTGCGACTCGGCACAGTCGCGCACCGTATGCGCACACGGTCACGTCCTTGCGAGGAGGCAAAGCCCCCGTTTCTCGCCCGTTTCCGACGCTTTCAATCGCAGTTATCGCTGACCCTAGAAGGTAGCGATGCTTTTTGGCAGTTTGGTAGTCAAGAAACCCTAATCGTGAACTGCCATCCAAAGACTCATTAAATTCTCCAAATCTGATGACATCATCTGAAACCTCGTTGCCATTGAGCACATAGATGTAGAACTTTTGCTGCACCACCCTCAGCCGCATAGCTCGTAAAACCCTTACGACAACCTGTGCATGCATGCTGACCTGCCCATCCAAGCGCAGTGCAGGCTCGGACCTGCGTAGTATGGCGCGAGATCTGACGAGAGAGCGCCGGGAAGGGCGAGCTGGGGCGGGCACGGCTGGGGGGGGTGCGGGCAGGGGGGCCGGGGGGCGGCGTTCCCCCCCGCGATCGGCTCCCCGCGGAACCCCCCGCTGCGCCGCGTCGCCGTTTTCTTCCACCGTCGTTGTCGTCGTCCTGACGACTCCTTTGCCGCGCGCCACCTCCAGGCGAGAGCGTCCCCGTGACCAAGTCGACGCTGCCGCGCCGCGAGGGCGACGCGCCGTGGGTGAGCGCGGGCGCCGAGGATTTCCGCCGCTTCGTGCTCTTCTGCGGCACGCGGCTCATCCAGACGCGCCCCGGCGCCGCCGACAAGGTGCTCGCCGTGGCGGTGAACACAGGTAAAGCCGGCACCGAGATGCTCCTCCGCTCCTTCACCCTATCAGATTAGATGTGGTTTTTTTTTATCTTAAACAAATGAAAAAAAATCGGCAGCGTTATCCTATTGACCGCGTGCCACTCGCGGTCGCTAATCGACGGAGAAAAAAATAAATCCACGTTCCAGCCAGGCTACGTGACGGGTAACCAACTTCATCCGGGGGGGGGGGGGGGATTAGAAAGGTTTTGTTGTCGTTGTATCTTTTGATCTTTTTCACCAGTTTTACCCCAATTTGATATGTCTTGAGATGGAGCCTCCATTCAGACTTCTTGCGGACCAGTGCAGCCCTCTATGTTAGAGAGCAGCTCGCGGGAGCGGATGTCACATGCGCTACCTCTTGAGATCCCTTAAAGGAGGGACGTCTGGCCATTAGAACCTGCCCTTTGTCGTGTGACGGTCAAACACTGTCTCTGGTGTAGGCCAGTCAGTTTCAAAGACAATGCATATATTATCAGAGCGTGTTTGTTTGCAAGTTCACGACAAGTACGTGTGGTTAATGCAGACTTTATGCCTTGCAAAAGGTTTCTATTTGTTGTTTGAACATCTTAACACCTCCTGTTTTATTGCCAGAAAGGGTTTAAACCTGGTCAAACGCATACATTTGTTTTATTTTCACAGCTGGCTTTTATTAAAATTAAGTGCAGGACAAAATTGTATATGATTTATTTTTTATCCAATCATTGGGGGCTGGGATGAGACTACGAGGTACCTGGTTAAGTCATACAGTGAGGGAAAAAAGTATTTGATCCCCTGCTGATTTTGTACGTTTGCCCACTGACAATGAAATGATCAGTCTATAATTTTAATGGTAGGTTTTTTTGAACAGTGAGAGACAGAATAACAACAAAAAAAGCCAGAAAAATGCATGTCGAAAATGTTATAAATTGATTGGCATTTTAATGAGGGAAATAAGTATTTGACCCTCTCTCAATCAGAAAGATTTCTGGCTCCCAGGTGTCTTTTATAGAGGTAACGAGCTGAGATTAGGAGCACACTCTTAAAGGGAGTGCTCCTAATCTCAGCTTGTTACCTGTATGAAAGACACCTGTCAACAGAAGCAATCAATCAGATTCCAAACTCTCCACCATGGGCAAGACCAAAGAGCTCTCCAAGGATGTCAGGGACAAGATTGTAGACCTACACAAGGCTGGAATGGGCTACAAGACCATTGTCAAGCAGCTTGGTGAGAAGGTGACAACAGTTGGTGCGATTATTCACAAATGGAAGAAACACAAAAGAACTGTCAATCTCCCTCGGCCTGGGGCTCCATGCAAGATCTCACCTCGTGGAGTTGCAATGATCATGAGAACGGTGAGGAATCAGCCCAGAACTACACGGGAGGATCTTGTCAATGATCTCAAGGCATAATAAAGGTTTTTGGGTTAGATCGCGTTTATTTATAAATGTGTCGTAACCCTCCACCACCCGACACGGCCAATCAGCAAAAAAAGTGTCACGTTGACAAAAGACAAATAATTCACTACTTCAGCCCACCGGTGTGTTGAAGAGTTAATCCACATTTACAGTTTGAGTACGACGTTTCGCTGGTAAATACTTCCAGCATCATCGGGCAATTCGCCAGAATGGTAAAGCCCTCGCTTGCTCCCGGTTTTATATAGAGCAGCAGGGTGACGTCATCACTTAACTCATCAGGTGCAGTGATTAGAGGCGGAGGGGGGGGGGGTAATGTAATTATATAATCGATTAGTAATCAGTCATTGGTTATGATTAGTAATGAGTTGTAGATTAGTAATTCTTTAAATCAAAATGTAATGTGTATTATTTAATAATACGCTTCCAGGCCGCACTAAGCCGGTAGCTGTCAAAGCGATTAAAGTTATTCTTGTTCCTCTCAATTTCAATGGATTCTCTAATTAGTCTTTGCCAGTAATAATTAGTTTTACACACCACTGCAACATTGTCAAAATCAATTGAGTGTCCTTGTTGACAAGCATGTTCTGCCACTGCCGACAGTTGTGTTTGAGATAATTTAATATTTCTCTGATGTTCTTTTAGTCTTACGCTGATGTTACGTCCCGTCTGCCCAATGTAGCAGCTGCCACATGAACAATTAATCCGATATACACCTTCTGTTGATAGTTTAGGTAATGCGTCTTTAGTGCAAGATACTAGTTTTTGAATTTTGTGTACTGTACCAAATCTTACTGTAATGTTTTGCTTTTGCAAAACGCGGGCTAATTTGTCAGTTACTCCTGAGATATATGGAATTTTTATTGTTTTAACAATCTGGTCGCTTTCAGTAGTATTGCTTTGCGATCGTGATTTGGCATTCAGTGCTCTGTTAATTTGAGCATTATTGTAGCCATTCTGTCGCAGTGCGTCTTTAATGAGGCAGAGATGACTAGACATGAGGTTGCTAAAATAATTGAGAATAGCAAAGTTCCAAAAGTAAATATTAGCTCTAACGAGGCAAAAGCCTTAAGAGAGCTGCGTGTAAATAAGGATATCCAAATCCTAGCAGCTGATAAAGGCCGCACTACTGTAGTGATGTCACGAGCCCTCATTAAAATACAAATCAATTCATAACATTTTTGACATGTGTTTTTCTGGATTTTTGTTGTTATTCTGTCTCTCACTGTTCAAATAAACCTACCATTAAAATTATAGACTGATCATTTCTTTGTCAGTGGGCAAACGTACACAATCAGCAGGGGATCAAATACTTTTTTCCCTTACTGTACATGCATACTTGTTCCTGAGGGAGGTACCTGAGTGGTACAGGGATTCTTAAGGCCCATGTCAGAGACACTGAGCTGGCACTGCTGAGACCCTGGGTTCATGTCCATGTATTGGCCACCCGTGATGGTATAACCAGATTCTCCACTGTAGGGAGTTTATGGTCTAAGCCCCCGGTCACCAACGAGCACGTGAAACAAACCAAAACGAAAACAAAACGGATTGGTGCACCGCTTGCTAGCCGTGACAATTCTGAGTGGGACATGATTGTGTCTCGCGACTTGTCTGCCGATGGAGCGACCGGAGTTGGCTCGGAGGAAAAAGGCAGCCAGCCGTGTGTCCATATTTCCTGCAGCAACTCGGTCGCCGTGTAAATTGACCAGACACGTGTAACCCTGTAGATGAGCGTGGGTGTGCCGTGCCGCTTCGTGTGGAGTCGCCTGACCCATGCCCTGCTCACCCCCCCCCAACTCCCTCCTCCCAAGGCTTCTCCACCAGCAAGGGGAAGTTGGTGCGCTCCATTCTCTACCCCAAGCCCACCGACTTCAAGCTCTTCCGCGACGCCTTCCGCTTCCTCATGTCGCTCATCGCCGTGGCGCTCGTGGGAATGATCTACACCGTGGTCATCTTCTCGCTCAGTGGGGTGCGCTCGCCGCTCTTGCGTGCACGATAGCCACGTCGCGTTGGGGCCGAGTGGGGATAGAGCGCGGTGCTGGGCCCAGTGAGATGTATCACACTGGGGTGAGATGTCAACGACCTCGCCTGGTATACAAGACATCGTGGGTTCGATCCCAACCCTGACGCTACTGTATACTTGGAGTTCACATTTCTCTCTCCCCGTGGTAACGTGGACTTTTTCCGGCTCCTCTGGTTTTTCACTCCACATTCAGAATCAACATCACGTGTTTAGAGTCTTTGGCTCCTATAAGTTTCCACGTGATAATCCACTTCATTGAGCTATCATTTGTACGTATCTATTTTTTTCCCTATCTACGTGGCTATTTACGTGGCTTTACCGAAAGACCCAAAGAATATATGTATGTATGTTGAACTTCTTTCGCACCGTATGTAGCCAACCAAATGGAGGTGCAGGGGAAAGACACACAAAAAGCAGTTCTAATGAAATTAGTTTGCATTCCCTGGACTTGCCAACCGCAGATTCCTGTATACACGGCAAATTCTTTGTATCCCAGTTTACCAACTGCGGCCTGGAAATTTGAGTATCCGCGGGTAAGCACGGGTCAGCAACTCGCGTTTGTAAATGTCACGGCCGCAGGTCTCCTTCGTGCCACAGCGCCACCTGTGCCCACCTGTGGTGCTGCGCATCTTACCGACTCCGGCTCTCCGCCTGATGATGCTGGTTGTAATTACTGGCGAAACGTTGTACTCAAATTATACATGTTGTGGGTTTTACTCTCCAACACACCCGTGTGCTGAACTAGTAACGAATTGGCACGTTTTGTATACGTGACAAACCTTACTCATTGGCTGTGTCGGGTGGTGGCAGGTTTAATGACACATTTATATTTATACGATCTAACCCAAACATCTCTTATGAATAATATTGATCGCGAAAGCCTGCGTGTTAAGCCAGCTGTCCATCTGTTTTGTTGCTGACCCGTGCTTACCCACGGATACTAGAAATGTCCAGGCTGTCGAGTTCTTTTTGAGCAGTGACCTGGCCACAAATTGAAAACACATTCCTTTAATCTGCTTTTTGTGTTTAGTTTGTTGTCCTTCCCCCGCACCTCTGCTTTTAGCATGGTTTGGCTACATACGGTACGAAAGAAGTTCAACACACATACATATATACAATGAAGCCTCACCGAGTCTTGAGACTCGGTGAGGCTTTCCTGAGTAAACAAGGTCAATAATAGTACATTGCCAATGAACAATGCCATGTTTTTCCTTTCTTTCATACTGCATTTGAAAAGTAATGGATGAATTTGAAACTCTGTTAAGTTTGAAAAGCCATTGGATGGTTAACCGATGGTTAACATCTCCTGCAAAACATTGTGTGGGGCAATGATCGGTGATGCGAGTGATAGATCACGCACCTGCACAGTCACAATTAGACTCTAATAGAGACCCATACACTCGCATGAATACCCGTAGACACACACAGCGACCCGTCGAGCCACACTGGGACCCATTCTATACAATACAATGCGACGCCCGCATCGGATTGCACTTCACCGCAGCCACAACTTGGCGACTCCTGAATTCCCCACTCGTGGTGGAAATATCCGGGACCTCCTCCACGCGCAGGACAATGCCAGCGGTCGTTTCCGATGAACGTTTGCCCCCACCCGATGATCATCGTTCCCACCGCAGACCGAGGCCGGCGAGGTCGTGAAGAAGGCCCTGGACATCATTACGATCGCGGTGCCTCCCGCGCTGCCGGCCGCCATGACGGCGGGCATCATGTACGCGCAGCGGCGGCTCCGCAGGGTCAACATCTTCTGCATTAGCCCGCAGCGCATCAACGTGTGCGGCCAGATCAACCTCGTCGGCTTTGACAAGGTGCGGCTCCCCGTGGTGCTCAGGGAGTGGGGCGGCACGCGCCCGGTGTACAGGAGGTTGTGGGTACGATCCCGACCCTGATGCCTGTATATTTGGGGTTTGCATGTTATCCCAGTGGTCGTGTGGATTTTTCTCCGGGTCCTCCGGTTTTTCCGCTCCACACTTCTAAACATGCGCTGAGAGCATTTGGTTGCTATAAATTTCCACATGATGATAAGCCACTTGGTTGAACTATCATTTGTGGCCAGGTCGCTTCTGAAATAGAGCTACGTAGCTCAGTGTTGTTAATGAATGGAGGTGGTTATGACGATGTTCATGATGCTGATCGAAGATGATGATGATGATGGTGGGTGGTGATGATAATGTTGATGATGGACCAGTGTATGGCGGTTCTTTCTGTGTATTTTAACACTTTGTGATGGAACTTTGTCCTGTGGACGTCTGTGTACTGGCAACATTTTGTATTGAGACCCTTGTGGATGGAGACATATTGGGACTCGTGTGTGTGTGTGTGTGTGTATGTGTGTGTGTAATGAAGACAGGGACACTGACGGAGGATGGGCTCGACTTGTGGGGACTTCTCAGGGTCTCCGAGAACAGGCAAGCCAAACTTTGCTCCATATTCACGATTCGCAATTCAGCCTGCCCTCTGACTCGGCTCCCGTGCATCCGCCAGCCATGCTGCCCTCCATGTCTAAGCCGAATTCGAGATGATGAGTGGAGAGCTGTGTCTGGAATTACGCGATGGAGCAGTGGCGTTGTGGTTTGCGCACGGCGCTACGAACCCGGCGACCCGAGTTTGAATCCAAGCCACGGCTAACGTCAGCGGGGAGTGACATCTGAACCGGTTCTGGGCCACCGCTTTGCCAACCCGCACACCGACCATCGCGGTGAAGTATGGTCAAATAGCCCCCCCATGGCCGACACGGCATGGGGAGCCCTTCATCCCGCAGTCCATTGACAAATGATACGTAGCAATTGCATATTACATAGTCACAGCATTTAAATAGTTTCGCACACTGTAACTTGGTTTTGTATTACCATTTGCACATGTTAATAACCAATCCACGTTTGCAAATGTTACCGGAGTCGTTTACATAATCACATGGGCGGAGTTTGTGGGGGAGAGGGGCATGGGGGGGGGGGGGGTAAATGCCCCTCCCCAAACTGGGCACCTTTATTAATTTATTTTCAGTACTTTACAATTATTATTTTTTTAAATGTATTATATCCATCCGGGATTCTTAATGTGAGGGACAAAGCGAAACCCCTGCCCACCCCCCCCCACCCCCCCAAATATAGTCAAACTTCGCCTATGCATAATCAGTTAACATTTAACCAATTCACATGTGCAACATGTTTGAAGTTCGTGTAAACGCGTGCTCCGAAGAAGGGGCCCCCACTGGCCTATCATGTCCGTTCTCCTTTTGAAGGCCGCGCGCAGCGCTGCTGCTGGCGAACGCGCCGGGTGGTTTTGACGCAAACTCCTCGCACCGACTCTTCGGCACCGGGCCCTTTGCGGGACACGGCGTGACGGCCGAAGTCACGTGACGTCGGGGCGGCGCGCCCTCTCTCTCTGTGCACGCGCGCAGATTCTGCGCCGTGGATCCCTACAAACGGGGCCGCGCCCTGCCGCGGGACGCGCTCTTCGACGCCATGGCAACGTGCCATTCGCTGGCGCTCATTGACGGAGCAATCCAGGGCGATCCTCTGGACGTGCGCATGTTCGAGGCCACGCAATGGGTATCCCCCCCCCCCCTCTTCATCCCGGGGTCTTTGGGTATCGTCATTAACTCTGCCGCTCGGGGTCCCTTGAATCACCGGCACACTGGTCTGTCACACAGTGCTAATCGTTCATAATAAAGGTTTTTGGGTTAGATCGCGTTATTTATAAATGTGTCGTAACCCTCCACCACCCGACACGGCCAATCAGCAAAAAAAAGTGTCACGTTGACAAAAGACAAATAGTTCACTACTTTAGCCCACCGGTGTGTTGAAGAGTGAATCCACAACATTTACAGTTTGAGTACGACGATGATGCTGGATGTATTTACCAGCGAAACGTCGTACTCAAACTGTAAATGTTGTGGATTCACTCTTCAACACACCGATGGGCTAAAGTAGTGAATTATTTGTCTTTTGTCAACGTGACACTTTTTTTTGCTGATTGGCCGTGTCGGGTGGTGGAGGGTTAAGACACATTTATAAATAACGCGAACTAACCCAAAAACCTTTATTATGAATAATATTGGTCGCGAAAGCCTACGTGTTAAACAGTACTAATCGTCCTTTACCTTGTATGCCTCTGCAAATGTGCACACGTTGGTAACATACAACGTTCCAAAATCCATGCAGCAAAAACCCGCCCTTCTGCCAGCCATATCTTAGCCAAATCCTCCCTTAGCTAATTTACGCATTTAGTTTTTGCATCATTCTGAGCTTGTAGTGTATGGTAAGTACGTGTCATTTTATACATCCAAGTTTATGTTTGTGGGTCGTGAGATAGCTTCGGGAGTAGAATGACCAATTTATTAAACCATTTTTATTTTACCAGGTAAGGCCCCACTGAGCTGTGTAGCTCTTTTTACGAAGTGACCTTGGCCACAATTGGTAGCTCAACGAAGTGGCTAATCATTGGGAAATGTACAGAATCCAAACACTCTAAACGCATGTTGATTCTAAATGCGGAGAGAAAAGTCCACATGACCACGGAGAGAGAGAGACACCCAAACTCCAAATATACAGGCGTTACAATTCTGAATCGAACTCATGACCTCCCGTATACCGGGTGAGGTAGTTAACATCTGGTGGTCACCACTGGAACGGCGATTGTCTTGGGACGTCCGGCAAAATAAGCACTGTAGTGTTTGGAGCATTTGTCTCGGAAATTCGCAGGGCGTTATAAACCTTCCACCCGCGTCAAGCGGGCCCATCGTCCAGGATCAATCAAAACGATTGTTCGCGAGTCATTTCATGAGAAACCACCACGGTAGTTGCCCTCTGTGAATATACTGGTCCCCTCTGCCTTCAGAATGTGGAGTTTCCATGGCTGGCTCAGGGCCGCCAATGGAGATGAGCTTTGTTATGAGCTGAGAGACTCTTCAACTGTTTGAGATACAACCGTGGTTTAGGCCGTCACCACCGAATTATACACCTAACCGGGACTTTTGGCAACACCTCTCTTGCCTACGGGGCCAAGCTGCTTCATTGGGAACCTTTGTCAAGTGGCACTGCTGTTGCCCTTCCCCGTCTTCCTCTCAAAACAGGTCATGGAGGAGACGGACGAAGAGGTGTCGGTCGGCAAGCTCAAATTCCGTCCCATTTGTGTGCTGTCTCCACCAGTGGTAGTAGAGACACCGGTGACCATCACACTCACACACTCACGCTCAGCTGGGCTTTGTTAATCGCCCTGAGCCCTCTGATTGCTCAGTAGGGATGTTCCCCCAGAGTTTTGGGATTCATCCTAAGAAATTTTTAAATCGGGCTTAGGTACGATATTTTGAATGATGTGAAAAAGAGGATTGTTTTGGATTGATCCGAGAGTATGACGTCACAGGATGTGACATCACTCATCGCCCTTGACTTTCGTGTTTTCCCCCTCCCAAGAGCGTTGTAACATCACACAAAGTGACGTCACTTTTGTCAGCACAAATGCTTGTTCAATCACGAAATTATAGGATCCGAAAATGCTAAATTTTCCTTATGAATATGAAAATCCAAAAAGTGTGTGTTTTTTAAAGTCTGAATACTCATGCCAATTGCTTAGCATCAATACGTAAACTTTTACACAGCGCTCGCTCGTAGTATTCAACAAAAAGCAGTCAGGTTTATTGATGATCCAGCGCTCACTGATTCACCGGCTCACCGGCGGTCAGTCGTCTTGTGATGCTGGGAAACACCCTGCTCCCCAGCGCTGCACCCTGCTCTACAGCGCTGCACCCTGCTCCCCAGCGCTGCACCCTGCTCTACAGTGCTGCACCCTGCTCCCCAGCGCTGCACCCTGCTCTACAGCGCTGCACCCTGCTCTACAGCGCTGCACCCTGCTCTACAGCGTGGCTCCCCAGCGCTGTACCCTGCTCCCGAGCGCTGTACCCTGCTCCCGAGCGCTGCACACTGCTGCCCAGCGCTGCACACTGCTGCCCAGCGCTGCACCCTGCTCCCCAGCACTGCACCCTGCTCTACAGCGTGGCTCCCCAGCGCTGCACCTTGCTCCCCAGCGCTGCACCCTGCTGCCCAGCGCTGGTGACGCGTGGCGTGCCCGCGTGCCTCCCGCAGGAGCCCGCCACGAGCCTGGCTGTGCTGAAGCAGTTCACCTTCTCCTCGTCGCTGCAGCGCATGTCCGTGATGGCGCGGCTGGCCTCCGGCGAGGCCTGCGCCTTCATGAAGGGCGCTCCCGAGAAGGTGGCCGGCCTGTGCCTCCCCGACACTGGTACGCGGCGCACCAGGGGCATTCCCACAACAGAAACTGGAGGAATCTGATCAGCTATGAGGCTCTTTTTCACAGATGTCCAATTGGGGCACGGGGTCAGAACGTTACAACAACAACAATTAAAATAAAATTAAAACACGATAGGAGTGCAAAGTATGGGAAAGGTAAATAAATCAAATAAAACTCGACTATTTTATCTTACCGGGTATAAAGCCCACTGAGCTGTTCACTTATTTTTCAGAAGCGACCTGGCCACAAATGATAGCTCAACAAAGTGGCTTATCACGTGTAAATGTAAATGATCATTTAAACAACAACCCGGTCACTGTTGACAGCCTTATGAGCGACCAACAGAAGAATATTCTTCTGTTGAGGTCGGTTTTTATCCGTCATTTATGGCTCTGACGGTCGGGTGCGTTTGGTCCGCGTCGCACGCACACGGACACCGCAAAACGTGCCGCCCCCCCCCCCCCCCCGTTCCCCCCGTGCACTTCGCAGTGCCATGCGATTTTGAGAAGGAGCTGCACAAATACGCGGCTCAAGGGTACCGCGTCATCGGCTTCGCCTCCCGGCAGCTCGGGGAGAACGAGCTCGGCATGGAGAGGTGAGCCCGGCAAGAATACAGCGGCGTGTTAAGGTGGAACACGGTCACCTATCACCATAAGGCATCAGGTCTGCATTAACCACACTTGCTAGAGGTAAAAACTGGCAAACTAACATGCTTTGATAACAACGTGTGCATTGTCCTTGACACTGATTGGTGGTACAAGTGAGACGCTGTCCTTTCATAGCCTTGTTTCACCAGTGTTAGGCCAAAGGGACGGAAAAGGTGAACGGCACATAGGCAATGAAAATATCAAAGCATGAATAGCTCGGGTCGAGCACTTAAATCTACGGGGGACCCATTTTGCCATCGTCTTGATACTGGGAAAAAAAGGGTCCCGATTAAATTAACTCGCTTGCGTCTCTGGGTATTACGCAGGAACAGCATTGCATTGTGGTGCAGCCCTTGTAGCGATGGCGGAGAGAGGGTGGGGTCGGCCTGGAGGGGGCTGAGCCTCCCCTCCCCACTCTGCTAGACTCATGTCGACTGGGCTGACACAATTAACTCGCCACACACACACACACACGAGATTTTGGCTTAATCGCAGGCGGTTGCCTGGATTCGAAACTAGGATCTCTGTAGTTGGCAGCTCGGTGCTCTTGAGCTCTGGGAGCCACACAGCCACCTCGGGGCAACATCGTTATTATTTAAAACGCGAGTCCGCGATGTTGCGAGGCCAACCGATCGCATTCGAGGCCTGGCGTTGTGAAAGCCGGTGGGGGATGGGTCGCGCGTCCTGACGCGGCGTGTCCTCGCTTGGCCATCCCCGGCCGCCCGCAGGGACAAGGTGGAGTGTGACCTCACGTTCCTCGGCCTCATGATCCTGGAGAACAAACTGAAGCCCGAGACGCAGGCCGCCCTGGAGGAGCTGCGGAAGGCACGCATTCGCACTGTCATGATCACAGGTCTGCACACCGTCGCTCACTCACAGCAGCGTTGCCGCACGTGGTGTCGATACCGTCGCAAATAAAACCTTGCCACAGCGAGCAACTCGTGGGCTAAAAAAAACGAAACCGAGCCATTTTTATTTGACCAGGTAAGGCCTGCTGAGCAATATCTCTTTTTCAGAAGCGACCTGGCCACAAATTGATAGCTCAACGAAGTGGCTATTTTGGTGTTTAAACATCTTAACACCTGTTTTTTTGTATTCTTGGTTCTTTCGGTAAAGTCACGTAGAAGGGAAACAATAAAATAATACAAATATACAACAATACAATATTTTTATTATTTTATTGTTTCCCTTCTACGTGACTTTACCGAAAGAACCAAGAATATGAATCCCTGCAGTCACGAAAGCTTTAAATCAAAACCTCCTGTTTTATTACCAGAAAGGGTACAATCCTCTTCTTAATCTTTTTTGTTCACAGGGGATAACATGCTGACTGCCGTGACGGTGGCGCGCACCTGCGGTATGGTGCCGCCGCTCCACGACGTTGTCTCGGTGATGGACAGGGAGTCGCCCAGACACCGGCGCCCGGACATTGTCTACGCGAAGATGGAGAAAGTGATCGGTGCCTGGGACACGAATGTACGGGGGGACGCCCCGCAGCCCCCCTTCCTGCTTGTCGCTCACATTTCAACGATAACAACTTTCTCCTCCTTCTTGGTTCTTTCGGTAAAGTCACGTAGAATGGAAACAAAGTAATAAAAATAAAATAAAATTCTCACAAAGAAACAGGTCTGTCCAGAGGACAGCGCTTGAGTTCACTCAAGAGAGGACGTCAACCGTGTGGAGACGGAGCGATGATCACGACGACGGCATTGGGAGCCCTTCATCCATGAGTTCACTCAAGCGCTGTCCTCTGGACAGACCTGTTTCTTCACCTGATGAAGGCTACTTGTGTTGTGGCCGAAACGTCGTGATAATTTTATTTTATTATGTTTTATTTTTTTATTACTTTGTTTCCATTCTACATGGTGACTTTACCGAAAGAACCAAGAAGTTGAATCCCTGCAGTCACGAAAGCTTTAAATCGAAATTTAACTTTCTCCTTCTGAATAATACGTCGTTGTCATCGTCAGCTGTTATCTGTCAACTCGTGGATGAAGGGCTCCCAATGCCGTCGTCGTGTTCATCGCTCCGTCTCCATACGGTTGACGTCCTCTCGGGCGTTGGTCCCTCTCCTGGCTGTCTCCAGGTCGTCTCAACCACCACCCATCGTTCCTTCTAACAACGTCCCCCTTCCCATGCCCACTCTTTTTTAACAGTCGCCGAGATGCCGCTGCCTTGTGCATTCTACAATCCATGCACTCTCTCTCCTGTCTCAGAGCAATTCCAGGAAATATGGGGACCACTCACGCCATTAACTGGCCACGGTATCCGTTACAGCACACAGCCTGTTGCCAATACCTGCTCAGATTTTCAAATAATAGTGTAATTTTGAACCTGAGCCCCATGTCCTTTTCCTGAACTTTCCTGCCTGTCGAGTTTTTTTTTTATACCATATTCCATACAATTATTTGATTTCTCCAAGCGCGCATAATCCACTCAAAGACCAGACACGCTTTGTTGCGTTGTGGTTAAACTAGAATCTCAAGCGCAGTGAGTTGATGGTCTCAGGACAGTCACCAATGACTGCACAGAAAAGCAAAAAAAAACGTATCACGTTTAATTTGTTTCTGCACCTCATTTGAGAAAGTGCTGTCCCTCGACGAGAGGTCCCTTGAAGGGATTTCAGAGGTTATGGTATCCGCTTCTGCAGCCATTCTTTAACACGGAGGGCTGCGCTGCTCTTTAGCAAGAGGTTCGAATGGATTCTCTCACACCTCGCGATGTCGCGACGCCAATAGTGCAATCGGGGGGGGATAAAATTGGGGGGGGGGGGGGCGATGACAAATCTATTAATTTTACAAGACACAGACTGGGCATTTGATCACACGCCGTCACCTCGCTTTCTTTGACACACTCCCCCCCCCCCCACTCTGCCCCTCTCACAGGACATGCATTTGACTGTGAACGAGTCAACCAAGCCGGCCTCCACCTTCCACTTTGCCATGACGGGCACCACTTATGCCGTGCTGCTGCAGCACTACCCAGAGCTGTTGCAGAAGGTGAGCGCCTACACTCTCCAACAACAACAGCTGCCGCCATTCGCCACTAAGTGGCGGTGACGTCACCATGACGCTTGTGCCAGGCTATGTGCACTTTAAGGCCACGTGAAGTGTCGAACGCCCGCTGGCAGGTCACGGGACAGACCCAGGTGCGCATGAGTTGACTCGCTGAGATGACTGGCCGATGCGCCAGCTGTGCCCCCTACTGTGCCTACGCTCACCACTACTTCATCTGCCAACGAGTGCGTGGTTCTAATTTTGAAGGTTTCATCGTTAATATTCCGGACATGGCTTGCTCATCCCTTCATCCTCTCTCCAGGGTAGATGGAAAAATAAGTATCACTGTGTGGGAAGCCGGCGTTTTTCCTGCAATGAGGATGTAGCGATGACTTTGATCGATCTGTGCTTCTGCAGATAGTGATGAACGGGACGGTGTTTGCCAGGATGTCTCCTGGCCAGAAGGCGAGCCTTATCGAAGAGCTCCAGAAACTGAAGTGAGTCCCGCAGTTGCCAGCACTAAGACACTGGTGTGCACTTGACCGTGCTCGCGGGCACGGCGATGCATTGGATCCCTCGAGACGGTGATGGATGGGTCATGGTCGAAGCGTTTCTGAAAGTGAATCTCATCGAAAGGAGCTCCAGAGGCTTTCATTAGGGTTCATTTAGAGACGCGCTTCGCATGCAGTACCTCGCTTCCACGTGGTACGTTCAACCATCGACTCTGGGCTGTGCATTTAATTAAATATTGAAGAAATTGTTAAAATACATGCAACTTGCTCCTGCGATGGAACACCTCTTAATTTTGAGTTCATGGCACAAATAATGAAATGCGTAACGGAACTTTGCTCCGCCAGTTGCCCCTCCGTTTTCTGTCACGTTACCGTCGAAACAAGAACCACTTGGTACGAGGTTAACGTGTTGGCCCTGCTCTGAATAGACTTGCTCTAGTCACAGGAATGTGGGATTTTCATGACCCGTTTTACCGCCACCCAACAGAGAGGAGCAAAGAGCCCAAAACTCGTTTTGTAGAGCGAGAGAGAGAACATTTTTGTTTTTCTCTTTCACCAAATAGCACCGGCACCGTTACAAAGTCAAGGAGAGTTCCAAACCGACGCGGGCGACCCATTTGATCACAGCCGGCAACGAGATGGCGACGCCGTCCCAACACAAGCTCCGCCGTTACTTTGCGATCAGCGTTAGCAAGTCCAGCGCGAGCCGTGTACGTGTGAAAATTTACGTTTTTTTTACGTTGAGTTTTCATTAAATTTCAATGTCCGTGCTTGGAGTCTGTGCTCGACGACTCTCTCGGGGGCAACGCGTAAACGCAGACACCAAACGGCGTGTGTTTTGTTTGCCTGTACGTTTTGCACGTTCACCACAGGCACCGTGTGTGGTCAATGCAGACTTCATTCCTTGCGAAAGGTTTCCATTTGGTGTTCAAACAACTTAACACCCCCTGTTTTTGTTGCCAGAAAGGGTCAAATCTATTCTTATTCTTCATGCCAAATGGTTGTCGCGCGCCCTCGCCAGTGTTGCCGTGCGGTTGTGCCCTTGTAGCTCTCCCTCCCGGCGACTTCGTTGGCTCGTGGCGCGTTTCGTGGAGTGTGAAACACCGCGGGCATCGGCCTGCGCGGTGTTGATGAGCGACCGCGCGGCATGACCCGAAAACACGTCGGGAGAGCCACGCGTGTCGTGTCGTCTCGCGTCCTGTCGTCTCGCGTCGCGCCGCGCTGTGTCGCGTCGTGCTCATGGCCGTTCTCGCTGTTTTCCTGCAGCTACTATGTTGGCATGTGTGGCGACGGAGCAAACGATTGTGGGGTAAGTAATTTGATCTACTTACATGTGTGTCTATATATATATTAGAACAGGGGCAATTGCTGCTGGAATCATATTCGATTCTTGCGATTACACCCTGAATGATTCCTGGAGTCATCGCGATTCTCGTAAGAACGATCCCCATGTGAAAGTCATCCATTTGTGTCGGGTTCCGGTTGGCCACTCAGCCGTGGAAGAATCTTTCGGTGGACTGGGATTCTACAGCGATTCCAATTGTGACTTCAGCTTTAGCTAAGCCTGGGGTTCACAGAGTCTTGAGACTGTCGTTGATGAGTGAAGCACGTTATTATGAGTAGCATTGTAATTTCACTGCCTCGCTACGCCACTAATAGTACAATAGAACCCCTCTAAGCGACGGTAATTGGTTCCACGAAAGTTACCTTTTTCACCCAAAAAAAGTACTTTAAACAATGGATATTAAACAAATAATATTAATAGAAACGTGGTTAATCAAAGCATTAATTAATATTTACTGTACCTACAACAGCCCTTCATTAACAGGGGAATGGTCGGTAAGTGGACACATTGGGCTCTATGGAGGCCCGTCGTGAACAGCGGTGGTCGTTAAGAGGGGTTCTGCTCTATAAAGGTGCAGCCCTGTAATTACTTGCTCATGCTGGCAGAAAGGGCTTCCACTAGAGGAAGCCCCAGAGGGAGCTCACGTGTTGCGTCTACCACTTCAGCTCCATCTAGAGGGTGTTTGGCAAGATGCTCTACCCCACCACACACGATCTGCCAATGGACAAACTGTGGCGCACCCATTTATACAGCAGGGTGGACAAACACTTTCCTATTGTTTCAACTGCCACGCCGAGAGGTCAGACTGACGACTTCAGCTGCCTGCTGATGTCAGGAGACAGGAAGCGTGGTAGACGCAGCACGTGGGATGGGAAGCGTGGTAGACGCAGCACGTGGGACGGGAAGCGTGGTAGACGCAGCACGTGGGACAGGAAGCGTGGTAGACGCAGCACGTGGGACAGGAAGCGTGGTAGACGCAGCACGTGGGACAGGAAGTGGTGTAGACGCAGCACGTGGGACAGGAAGCGTGGTAGAAGCAGCACATGGGACAGGAAGCGTGGTAGACGCAGCACGTAAGACGGGAAGCGTGGTAGACGCAGCACGTGGGACAGGAAGCGTGGGAGAAGCAGCACGTGAAACAAGAAGCAGTTAAGACGCAGCACGTGGGACAGGAAGCGTGGTAGACGTAGCACGTGGGACAGGAAGCCCTGTAGAAGCAGCACGTGGGACTGTTGTGTGTGCGCGCAGGCACTGAAGATGGCCCACGCCGGCATCTCGCTGTCGGAGCAGGAGGCCTCGGTAGCCTCCCCCTTCACGTCCAAGATCCCCAACATCGAGTGTGTGCTGCACCTCATCAAGTACGAGCGAGCACCACCACCACCAGCGGCCAGCGAGCACGCGGGGCTCACGTCGACACTCGCGTACATCACATCCCTCCTTCACCACGGCCAGTCTCGAGCCTCTGATGCTGTGTAGCTCGACGCACAATCACGACTTGGTCACCCACATCCCGACGCACAGTTTTCTCCGTTCATTGTTCACATTGCCGTGCAATCGTTACCCCGTGTATCGTGTTCGCATTGCGACAGTGTGCAACGTTGTGATGATGTGCGACGGTGTGCATTTGTTTTCATTCCGGGCGAACGTGGCTTCATTAACCCCCTCCCTCCCTTAACATTGCATGTATTGCAGGGAGGGTCGAGCAGCCTTGGTGACCTCCTTCTGTGTGTTTAAGTACATGGCCCTGTACAGCATGATTCAGTACATCAGTGTGCTCATCCTGTACTGGGTAAAGTCACCGCACAAACCACCGCTCATCAGCATTCCAAGGCGTAACCCTTTCGGCGCCGTGCCGTGTTCGGTTACACGTGTCTTGCATCTGCTCTGCTGCTGCGTTGCCCAGAGCTCGCTTCTCTTTTTTTCTCCTGGCTTACCGGGGGGCTCCTCCGTGTGTGGTCGTGGTATTGCTTGGTTGATAACCACTCAACCTGGCTTCTCTCTGAACGTTTGGTCACTGTCTCGCTGTTGGTGGAAACGCTCATCGTGGACAAATCGCCCATGAGGATTGGCTTCCGGTATTTATCTTAGAAGCGGGTGGCTACGGAATCCTCTGTGGGCTGTGAACGCCTTGGGGGAGGGGGGGAGGGAAGCCCCATTACCGTAAAAAGACAACACATGATGAAGGAGATGATTTCTTATTATTTTTTCCGTTCACGTATTGTCCAACAACAATGCTCATGATTATTTTCAAGTGATGTATAACTACATCGTTTTGCGTCAAAACTCGGACCCTGTGGTCGCGTCAAGAGAGGCGGGGGGGGGGGGTCCCTTGCCTGTAAGAGCGGCAGTTCACCATCATTGATTCAAACAAGCCTGACTGACAGTTGATGAGACACTGCATGTTGAAACCGGTCCAGTCTTTCTTGTCTTGAAGCAATGCTGCTGAAATTGCGCACTCTCCCAGTAGGCCGTGCGGCTTATGGCTTGTGAAGTAGACCTTATTGTCTGATTATTTGTTTCATTCCGGCAATCAGTAATGTTATATGTTGTCTGCAGTCATCGGCGCAGGCAATATAGAACACGCGGAAGATCGTATCACCACGCGTTTCCACCAGCACGCCGAGAGAGAGGTGGTTGTGCATGAATCTTTCAGCCCTCTTAATTTAAAAATACATTTCTATTTCCTAACGTCTATTCTTTATTCTTTGTCGGGACAGTCCTCCAATGCTTAAGGGAGTATGGAGACACATTTATTAATAATAGACGCTACTTGTGCATCTCACGGCGAGTGTGGTGCTTCCGTATTTCGGCCAGGGGACCCAGCGGGTTCCAGTAATGACGCGCCGGCACATTTTCCTCGCTTGAATATCGTGCTACGCCCCTGTGTTTTTAATAGGGAGGCGGATGTTGATTTACTGGGCGACTGAGCACCATTGTTTGTTTTCCCGTAGAAACTTGCTGGCTTCTCCAACTACGAGTTTCTCTATCAGGACCTGGTTATCACCACCGTCATTGCCGTCACCAGTGAGTGTCGCATCATCCACTTCACATTCCCGTCTCTCACATTTTATGGGGGGGGGGGGGGAGGGCGGGGTTTGCACACAGCATATCAGGGATAGCTGCCTCTGGGGGTTCCCTTTGTCCCGTGTGCAATCGAACATTGGAAGAGTTAGAGATGTGACGAGAGGTGCTTTGAGTTGCCGAGGTATGCGAGTGGCCCGACAGGGCGGTGTTCTTCATCGCAAGGCCCGCGGGGGGCCACTGGCGGCCCCCCTGGTGGTCTTCAGTGCGGCCCCCCCGACACTAAAAGTGATAACGCCCCTTGCAGGCAGGCGGCGTGGCGGCGCTCACACTGAGGATGTCCTATCGGTCCCCCACCCCCCTCTGACAATAAGTGAATAACACTGTCCTACAATGTGTGTACGTACGTGTGTTGAGCTTCTTTCGCACCGCACGTAGCCAAACGTGCTAACCGGGAGGTGGCCGCGCGTTCGCTGCTCGTCGCAGATTGTTTTCGCCGTTGGGATGGAGCGGGCCGCCCTAGTTAATGCTGCGGGGGGGCGCGTTAACCGTCAACTGCGCGCCATTCTGATTCACAGTGGCTTGGTGAAAAAGTTGCTGTGACATCGTTTGGAGAAGAGTAGGACGTTGTGTATGATGGTGTGAGACTTCCAAATGTAAAGAATATATATTTATATAAAATATAAATCTAATACAAATATATAATTATGCCAGTGTGCAGTTATGGTTCTGTATAAAATCTATAAAGCATACATGAATATATTATACATTATAATAGAAGAAATATACTATACATAAATATATACTATATACATATATTTAAAAATATGGAAAATATAATATATCGATATATATAAAATCTATATAATTTTACATTTTTAAAATATAGATATAAAAAAGAGTGAATACTATATATATAAATATACGCACACGAAAAATGCAAATCACCACGTAAAACCGCCTTGCGTGTTGTGCCCCAGTGAGCCTGAACCGGGCTCACCCGAGCCTGGCCGCGTACCGCCCGCCCCAGCAGCTGGTGTCGCCGCCCTTCCTGCTGTCCGTGGTACTGCACGTGGCGTTGACGCTGGCCTGCCAGGTGCTGGCCTACCTGCTGGTGCAGCGGCAGCCGTGGTACTCGGACGTGGCGTACAGGTGTGATCCCACAGGGGGGTTGGGGGTGGAGCAATTCTCTGGAGGTGACAGGGTGATAAGAGGGGCACATGAGAACGCGGTGGTGGTGGTGGTGGTTGTGGTGTTGGTGGAGGTGTTGTTGTTGGTGGTGGAGGAGGTGTTGGTGGCGGTGGTGGTGGTGGTGGCACGTTAGGGGGAGAGATTCCCCCATTGCGGAGATGGATTCGTGGCCAAGACCAGCGGTATCTCTTTCTCTCTGCAATTATTTTCTCTTTTTATACTGCAAAAAATGCATTAAAAGTACAAATTACTGGAGAAGAATACAATATTCAGGTTTCCCTCGCTTTATGCGGGAGATGCATTCCAAAAAAGGGTGCACAAAGCGAAATGGCACGAGGAGACACACACAGCGGTACACACACAGTACACACACGCAGTGCACACACAGTACACACAGTACAAACGCAGTATGCGCACACAAGTACACCCAACATACACACAGTACATACACAGTCCACACACAGTATACTCACAGACTACAACATTTACGCACACAGTACATACACAGTACATACACAGTACATACACACAAAATATTGTCCCACGTCCAACTGCTTTAGGGCACATGAGTGAATCAAAACTGCATAGAGCGCATTTTGGGTAATAATGTCAGCCTCATTTATGCGAAATCGCACAAACTGAACTCGCATCGAGCGAGGGAAACTGCACAATGCGCACATTTACCCAACGTCTCCAGTGGCGGCTGGAGAGGTGTAGAGCCAGGTCCCCGGTAACTCGTGTGCTCCATGAGACAAATGAGAGCAGCCTCAGCCGTCTCTTTAAAGTGCATTTACTGCTGCTGCTGTACAGCGAGGGGAAAAAAAGCATTTGATCCCCTGCTGATTTTGTACGTTTGCCCACTGACAAAGAAATGATCAGTCTATAATTTTAATGGTAGGTTTATTTGAACAGTGAGAGACAGAATAACAACAAAAAAATCCAGAAAAACGCATGTCAAAAATGTTATAAATTGATTTGCATTTTAATGAGGGAAATAAGTATTTGACCCCTCTGCAAAACATGACTTAGTACTTGGTGGCAAAACTCTTGTTGGCAATCACAGAGGTCAGACGTTTCTTGTAGTTGGCCACCAGGTTTGCATACATCTCAGGAGGGATTTTGTCCCACTCCTCTTTGCAGATCTTCTCCAAGTCATTAAGGTTTTGAGGCTGACGTTTGGCAACTCGAACCTTCAGCTCCCTCCACAGATTTTCGATGGGATTAAGGTCTGGAGACTGGCTAGGCTACTCCAGGACCTTAATGTGCTTCTTCTTGAGCCACTCCTTTGTTGCCTTGGCCGTGTGTTTTGGGTCATTGTCATGCTGGAATACCCATCCACGACCCATTTTCAATGCCCTGGCTGAGGGAAGGAGGTTCTCACCCAAGATTTGATGGTACATGGCCCCGTCCATCGTCCCTTTGATGCGGTGAATTTGTCCTGTCCCCTTAGCAGAAAAACACCCCCAAAGCATAATGTTTCCACCTCCATGTTTGACGGTGGGGATGGTGTTCTTGGGGTCATAGGCAGCATTCCTTCTCCTCCAAACACGGCGAGTTGAGTTGATGCCAAAGAGCTCCATTTTGGTCTCATCTGACCACAACACTTTCACCCAGTTGTCCTCTGAATCATTCAGATGTTCAATGGCAAACTTCAGACGGGCATATATATGTGCTTTCTTGAGCAGGGGGACCTTGCGGGCGCTGCAGGATTTCAGTCCTTCACGGCGTAGTGTGTTACCAATTGATTTCTTGGTGACTATGGTCCCAGCTGCCTTGAGATCATTGACAAGATCCTCCCGTGTAGTTCTGGGCTGATTCCTCACCGTTCTCATGATCATTGCAACTCCACGAGGTGAGATCTTGCATGGAGCCCCAGGCCAAGGGAGATTGACAGTTATTTTGTGTTTCATCCATTTGCGAATAATCGCACCAACTGTTGTCACCTTCTCACCAAGCTGCTTGGCAATGGTCTTGTAGCCCATTCCAGCCTTGTGTAGGTCTACAATCTTGTCCCTGACATCCTTGGAGAGCTCTTTGGTCTTGGCCATGGTGGAGAGTTTGGAATCTGATTGATTGCTTCTGTGGACAGGTGTCTTTTATACAGGTAACGAGCTGAGATTAGGAGCACACTCTTAAAGGGAGTGCTCTTTATCTCAGCTTCTTACCTGTATAAAAGACACCTGGGAGCCAGAAATCTTTCTGATTGAGAGGGAGTCAAATACTTATTTCCCTCATTAAAATGCAAATCAATTTATAACATTTTTGACATGCTTTTTCTGGATTTTTGTTGTTATTCTGGCTCTCACTGTTCAAATAAACCTTCCATTAAAATTATAGACTGATCATTTCTTTGTCAGTGAGCAAACGTACAAAATCAGCAGGGGATCAAATACTTTTTTCTCTCACTGTACGTGTGGAGGGATGCGATTCCAAACGGTCGGAGCAGCCACGGAGAAACGGCACTCTGCTTGGCACCATCTTGGTTTTGGCGACTAGCGAGTGAGTTGCATGGAAGTGACCAATTGTTTTGAGGTGTGTAAATTTGGCACCAATTTACAAACTATAAATGTGTTGGAGTTACATGCTTAATTAACCATGTACTTCAGATACGCTTGTCAACTAGGCGGTATCAACGGGTACGCCACGGTCCTTCGGCATCGTGCGTGTGTGGTGGGGTCAAGTGTGAGTACTCCCAATGTATGTACGTTGAACTTCTTTCACACCGTACGTAGCCAACCCTGCTAATCAGAGGTGCAAGGGAACAGTGGAATAGGAGACTAAACACCCTTTGGCGAACCTCTAGAGCAGTGGTTCTCATCCGGGGGTTACTCGGCAATGTCCCTGTGGGTACGTGAGGTGATTTATAAATGCGTGAAATTATATCACACATGAGAGTCACTGGTGAATAATCACGTATGAATCTGCCCACGTAAAATAATTGCGATAACATTTCAATCCAGATGGTAAGCTAGAACGATTTTAAAAGACCTTTACAAAGAATAGCCAGCGAGCGCGAACAGATTACGTCGCGCATGAAGAGCGTCCGTTGACTTTGTTTTATTCGCTTGCAGTTATTCGCTCGTTTAGGATACCTCACAAAATGGACAATCGGTTAAAATATTGATGTTCATTATTCATATGTTTATTTCTCCCGAACCATTTTGGGTCCGGCAAGGGGGGTGTTGACATTTGGGGGGGTGTTGACATTTGTTTCGATTGAAACAAATGTCAACAATGGGGGGTGTACAAGAGCCAACAAAAAGGGTTGATAGCCACTGCTCCTGAGCTACGAGCATTGGCGTGCGCGACCGACTGCAGCGCTGCCGCCCGTACCTTTATAACTTCACTTGGCACGATTTACGATGCGGAACCGCGTTGTGGGAGCGGTGCGCAGCTACTGCGGGGTGCCCAACTCGACGGCCCCCGGCGGGCCGGGAAACACGACGGGCGCGCCCGCGGACGACGACGCACCGCCCTGGTCTGAGTTCGCCAGCTACGACAACTACACCGTGTGGTTCCTCTCCGTCTTCAACTGCATCACCGTGGCCTTTGTCTTCTCCAAGGGCCGGCCCTTCCGCCGGCCCATCTACACCAACTGTGAGTGCGCCAAGTTGCCCGGCGGGTGACGGGAGCGAGAGTCTCTGCGGGCACTCTCGCCCCGCCTCCTGGGAATCCCTTGGCGCGAGGGATTGGCCCCTTGGTCAGAACCTCAGGGGTGCCGCCACGATGACTATGAGATGTTAACAACCTCGCCTGGTATGCAGGAGGTCGTGGGTTCGATTCCGACCCTGACGCCTGCTGTATATTTGGAGTTTGCGTGTTTTCCCCGTGGTTGTGTGGATTTTTCTCTGGGTCCTCCGGTTTTTTCCCTACACATTTAGAAACATGCGTTTCGATTATTTGGCTGCTATATATTTCCACGTGATGTTGGGCCACTTCATTGAGCTATAATTTGTGGCCATGTCGCTTCTGAAAAAGAGCTACAAAGTTCAATGGGCCCCGGCGTCGCGGTCCAAATTCGCCAAATGAGAAAGTTGCACCGCAATTTGCTTCATCGGGATTGCACACGGCAATCATCGCCCCGTTATTGGCAGGCCCATTCTGTCCAGAGATCGCTCTTGAAAGTGTCACCATTCTGGTCTCGTTCAGTTCTGACCTGCTTAAACGAAAGTAAATATGAAACTATTCCCTCGTTTTGCATTAAGAATGTTAGCAAATGCAGCCTGGCGTATTAACAGCCTTTTGAGAAAATCCATTCAGGTGGCAGCATGGTCGGTGCATTGGCCTAATGATCAGGAGGTTGTGAGTTCAAACTCTGATCAGGGGTTGACTCAATGTGTTGGTATTTCGCCCTGGCTAAGAACCCTGGCTAGGCTCAATGCTCATTTAAGCTCAGAGACACTTTGCTTTATTCCAAGTTGTGGACTGCATTGTTTTTTTGTCGGTAACAAAATGCATTGTTAAAGGACATAGCATTGCCCTCTAAGGCGAAGATTTGGCAGCACTGTGCTGAAAATAATTTTCTAAACTAAAAACGAAACTATTTAAATTTTACCAGGTTAGGCCCACTGAGCTATTTAACTGAACACAATTGATAGCTCAACGAAGCAGCTTATAACGTGGAAATTTATAACAGCCAAACACTAAACGCATACAGTATTTCTAAATGTGGAGGACCCAAAGAACTATCCACGCGACCACGGGGAGAGACACGCAAACTCCAAATATACAGCAGGCGTCAGGGTTGGGATTGAAACCCACGACCTCCTCAGTGAGACTTTAAATGGGTGAACAACCATAAGCATAATACAATTGATCATCATCTATGACCACAGGACATTATAGGAGTGGCTGATAATGTTTAGAGCCGCAGTAGACTCGCACAGTCGTCACAGGTGCTGTGTAAGTTGTGGTGGTGGTTGTGCAGCAGCAGCAGCAGCAGTGTTAACGGACGTCGCTTTGTCCTGTCAGATGTGTTTGTGATCGTCCTGATGCTACAGCTAGGAGTCACCTTCTTCCTCCTCTTCATAAACGTGGAGTCCATTTACACGACCATGGAGGTACGGCGTCACATGCGGCCACGAAACAAGCGCCATGCAGTGCAACGCCGCACACAGAGCACCCACCACATCACAGAGCGCGCCACTGCATGACGCACCACACCATCCCCAGAACCACACCAGATCACACAAGTACATCACATATAGTACCGCAAGCTCAGACCACACACAGAGCACCACACACACAGTGCACAACCACGCACAGCCGTGCCACGTTCAGAGCACCACACCAAAGACGAAGACCCCCCCCCCCCCCCACCCGTATTTTAGCCCTAACAGACTGTTGAGGCAAGTGCTGTTAGCGAGCACCTATGAAGGCCGGCACGGCACACGAGGGAGTGGGTGGCCAACACCACGCCTTTGTCTCCCGAGTGGCGATGTTTACACACCGCACCAGGTACTCATATGAGGCTTAGTAGACCTAGGGGAGTCCCAGGACCGGTTCAGATAATCGTCATCAGACACCACCACGTGGCACCATGCCATAAAAACCACACCACCGCACATATAACCACACCAAGGAGAGTGATTGGTTAATTGACCTGTACCTTGCACTATGTTTATATAATTTCGACAAGCAATAAATAATGTTTGACGCCACAACTTTTTATCAAGTAATCACATCAAAATCACGTAGAAGGGAAACAAAATAATAAAAATATAAAAAATAAAATTCTCACGACGTTTCGACTGCAACACAAGCAATCATCATTTTTTTTCAAATTTTCTTGCTGTGGTTTTCACACCTGATGGTGGGTGATTGGGCAGATGTGTGGGTGAGTGGGTGCGTGAGTGAGTGAGTGGGTGAGTGGGTGGGAGGGTGAGTGGGTGAGTGAGTGGTTGGGTGGGTGAGTGAGTGGTTGGGTGGGTGAGTGGGTGAGTGGGTGGGTGAGTGCGTGATGAGTGGGTGAGTGGGTGGGTCAGTGGGTGAGTGAGTTTGGGGTGTGTGGGTTAGTTGGTTGTTTCCCTTCTACGTGGTGACTTTACAGAAAGAACCAAGAATAAGAATTTTATTGTTTTATATTTTTATTATTTTATTGTTTCCCTTCTACGTGGTGGTGACTTTACCCAAAGAACCAAGAATAATAATTTTATTGTTTTATATTTTTATTATTTTATTGTTTCCCTTCTACGTGGCGACTTTACCAAAAGAACCAATAATAATAATTTAATTATTTTATATTTTTATTATTTTATTGTTTCCCTTCTACATGACTTTACCGAAAAAAACAAGAATATGAATCCCTGCATTCACGAAAGCTTTAAGTCAAAATTTAATCACATCAAGCCACGCTGCACTCTAAAAGGCACGCTTCACAGCATCATTCACACTGTTCAACTGTTGCTCATGTAAACGAACACCGGCGGTGCATTCACCTTGACTATCAGGAAAAGTAAGGGGATTGGACTGCACACAAAGGATAATGGCTGATGGCCGAGACCAGGGGTCAGCAACCAAAATAACAAAAAGAGACATTATTTTAGAATTCGGTAAAATATTTCAAGAGTCGCTATGCATGCGAATGTATCAACAGGGAATCCTCGACTTACGAACATTCGACTTGGGAACTTTCAGAGATACGAACAAACCTGTCCATATGTCCAGTTGTCTGTTCGGATTGAGAGTCGAAGTTCAACCGCCGAGCAATGGATGGCGGTGGTGGTAACTGGAGAACATGAAGACCCAGTGGCACCTACATCTGCAGGAGATTATACAACTTTTAATGCCATTCCCCGTGTTTTAATGTACATGCGGTACAACATGTTTGTAATGGACATGAGTAAAGTTTGACTTAGGAACAAATCGACTTACGAACAGACCTGGAACCTTACTTGTTCATAAGTAGACGAGTGCCTGTATGTTTAACTTCTTTCACACCGTGTGTAGCCAACCGTAGTAATTGGAGGTACGTGAATAATGTCACAAAGCAGTCCTTACAGAGCCATGGGTTGCTGACCCATGATCTAGACTAACATCAAATTGGAAACCAAGGGAGGGAGCGCACCATCGCGAGACAGAGCGATGAAATAGACTCGCGTGAAGGTGCCAGATGGATCTCAGCATCGCAGGGACCGTGAAAGATGTCGACGGCTTTGGGGAGACCTCGATCCAGCAATGGACGGATGTCTCTGACGGCGACGATGGTGAATTCATTCGCGACATGCAACTCGCGGATCCTGTCACCGTGCGCTGTGTGTAGCTGGTGTGCACCACCCTGCTCTGGCGATGGCACATCGTGCTCATCACCGCCGTGCACTTCATCCTCTCCGTTCTCGTCGAGGTGAGCCACTGTGGCGGGAGGGGCGGGAGGGGCGGGAGGGGACGGCCGCTTCCTCACGAGGTTGGCCAAACGGTCTGTGGCCATAGGCGGGAGTGGGTCCCTTCAACTTCGCAGTGGGTGCTTTAAAAGTTGGCTGTTTTTTTAAGTTTGTTCCAGTTATCCCAGCAATAGATTCATGGTTGTATTTTTGTAGACTTTTTAGTTATTAATTTTTGTCTCTAAACCATGTGTAAAATAAACAGATTGAATGTAACAGGGGGGGGGGGGGCAGGGGGTGGTCATTGGGGACCGGGTGAAGACCATCGACTCCCTGCACTTGAGAAGAGCCCAGTTTCATCATGGACAGTTGTCCAGAATTGAACAGAGGATCTCAACGGTGCCAGTTTTAGAGTCTTCTGCTATAATTCCCACGTGATAAGCCACTTCGTTGAGCAATAATTGTGGCCAGGTCGCTTTTGTAAAAGAGCTACATAGCTTAGTGGGCCTTACCTGAATACAATTTAAAGGTTTAGTTTGTTTAATGGTCAGTTTTTTAGCACCCTGCTAGCCTGTGATTGGTAACTTTTATCATTGCCTGTGTAGTATCGATAGTTAAATGTTTAATGTTGTGTGGTGTTATCTTGGTGTGGTCTGGGACTGTGTTGTTGTTTTTGCCACCGTGCCCAAGCTTGACAAATCGGACGTACAATTATTTAATTATTCACATTTAGTGACTTGCATATCATTTTGTATATTTTGGGCACTCATCGGTTTTTTTTTTGTATTGTTTGCTGTTGTAACTCGCTGACCCACCCATACTGGGACGTTTGTGAGAAAGAGCTTCATAGCTCATCGGATTCCTCCTCCAGTCTAAATAAAGCTTGTGTTCTGATTGTGAGCCCACCCGGCTTCCTTGCCCTCCCGTCTCGCAGGATGTGCTTATCGAGAACCGTTCGATGTGGCGGAGCCTGCGCCGTTGCTTGCGCATCAAGTCCAAGGCGCGCTACAACACGCTAGCGGAGCAGCTCGCTCAAGACCCCTCGTGGCCGCCGCTGGACCTCAGCCTCTCGGCGTCCACGCCAAACAACGGCCACCAGCCGCCGAGGCCCAACGGGGCTGCCACCCTCGGCTACCGCCAAGGTGCAGACGTTCCGAACTCCCGAGAGGCCGGTTACTGCACCTTCCCCTCCCACCGGCATTTGAGGATTTCCGGGACGGGGCGTCGAAACTCCTCGCGCCGGTCGAGTGCCGCCGAGCGTCTCCGGGCCGAAGCGGAGGGCGCTCCAAACGCCCATTACAACAAGGCCTACACTCCCACGCTGGAGCTGGACGCTGTGGCGTTTGAAGACGAGGTGGCGGACGACGAGAGAGGTGAGGGGCGGCACGTGGGTGGGGAGCAAGCGAACTCGAGGAGTTGCGTCAACCCGGGTTTTGAGTCCGACGACAGCTCGGGACCCGAGTCGGGCCCAGCTGACAGTTGATGCCTGACTCAGTCCTCTAAAAGGACACGATTTAAGGTGTGTGTGTGTCTGTGTAAGAGTTGTTTTATATGTAGTGCTTTGTTTTTTTAACCCGATTTTACTACAGTTCTGCAGATCAGTGTGAAAAGTCACACGCTGCACTATAAATGCACATGTACGCCTTGCGTTCCACGGCGTATGGTGAATAGGTTAGGCTGTAATGCTTCTACAATTTACAATGCACGGTACAATTCTAAATATATATGAAACTGTCTTAAGTGCAACATAAAGTTGTGACGTGTGTGTGTTTGTGCGAGCGTGCAAGGCATACAGAGTTGTCTTTCGCACGTTGCCACGTGACCTAGCTGCCTCTTCATCGTGCAATACGGCAGCAAAGAGAAATGCGCATAGGGAAGTGCGAACACAGTTTTGCCTTACATTTTAAAATTATTCGCACCCCGTATGAAGTTAGAATCATTTATTTTAATCACGGCTGTGGAGAAAACCTGACACCGACGTAGCTTGACCTGTTTTTGAACCTACTTTATTTTCTACTTTACTGACCGCAATGTGATCACCGCCCGTTAAGCAGCAATGTTTCCTTGACTTTTTTTGTGTTCTCTTTTGGATAAAATTATTTTTAACATGTCACAACATATCCGGCCCCGTGGCTCGGTGGTAGTGCGAGCAGCTCACCATCGGGGGTGGGGTTGACTGCCCATCATCTCCCTGGGGTCGATAAAACGAGCAACACTGTGGGGAGGTCGACGACGGTCGTTGCAGGACGTTGTGTGTGCCGGCGTCATGGTCAAAACTTGGCAAATTTGGACCGTAACACCGGTGCCTGATGACCTACTCTCCTTGGGAAGACGTCACAGGATCTCTCGCGTCCACACTGTGAAGCAGTGGATGTGGATTTGTGTGGTGAAAGAATCCGCCAGTACTAACCAGGGTGGCCTGCTGGAATCGGTGGACCACTCCCAATGGAGGGACTGGCGGTCCAGATGTGGCCCGTGGGCCGCCAGTTGAAGGCCCGTTTGTTCGCGTAATGTTGTTCCGTTTATTATGTGTAATTAAACGTATTAATTATAACGAATCCAAAATTTGTTGAATACAGAGATGACATTCACTTTTTGTTTACGCTCCACGTGCATGGAAATGGAATGCTGTTTAGAATGGGGTCATCTTTTTTACCCCCCCCTGCCATAGGAATGTGGAATTACCACTACTGACTTTATGCCACCAACAGATATGGGCAACCACTACTACGATCGTTGGGGCAGAGTCGCTATGATTTGGCATGGACATAAATTAAGGGCAGGTGAGTGAAATATGAAATAATTTCGCTGTCAATTACTGGAGGAAAGCTACACGTGTTTCCCCAGCATTAGACTTCCTCTTGATACCCTTCTCTGAGTGCTAAGAGGACCGTGAAACGCATAGATAATCGGGGAATGTGTATTTTAAAAATAGTCTATGGACTCAACACACAGCCGTTCTTTGTTAAGTTTGCAGTGATCATTTGGCTTTTGTTCAAGTGCACACGCTGCCGGAAAAAATGCAAACTATTTTACCAAATGATGATTACGATGTATTAAAGTTATATGGTGTCTTTAATCTGCTTGTTGTTACATGCACAGGCAAACAGCTGACATTGATAATGCATGACATTCTTAGAACCATGATTATTTTTATAACAAATTAACCGTATGAAGTGAAATTAAATTCCGTTACGTGAAATTCAATTCAAATCTCATGTGTACATATGAAATAACTTGAATTGTGGGAATTTGAAGCACAGCCGTCTTTTATTCTACAGGGTGGCGCAGATGCCTTGTGACCCCCATTTAATCCTCTAAAACTTTATATATTTTTAAAGGTTTATTTAAAACAGAAATGAGTGTAAATGATTCAAAATATTAGGGGTCAATTAATTGGGGGTCACAAGACGTCTGGACTAACCCCTTGTACAGCATGTTTGTCCTCGTGTAAGCGGCAGTATGCATCTGTACGTTGAGGCTGGCTCTCTGGGGTCGTTAAATTTAATTTCATGAACGTAAGTTTCATATTTAAAACCAACATTTTAACGGTTGTTGCTTTCGTTGAATTATTTTTTTAGCTCTACTTCACATCTGAAATGTATAGAAATGTTCGTTAAAAAGGTGTGCCTTTTTTTAGATCGTAATGAAATAAAGTTTTAGTTTATGAAATAAGTGTACGTGGTGTTTTAAATGTTAGTTTGTTTTTTTCCCATACTTTATAATGGATGTTCTCAGTGTTTGTTATACGAAGAGTGAAATGTAAAATAATGTAGTGCTATTACATTGTAGCCCATTTTTGTTTTACTTCATACTAAATTAAGATTATAGTGGAGTTGGTGATGCTGCTGCTTAATTGGCAGTGGCGCACGAGCATGCCAAAAAAAACAAACCACTTGTCAATAGCACTGCCTTCACTGAACAAAAAATGTACGAAATGGGTGACGTTTCAGCCAATGGCCCTTCTTCACAGCACAAATGGGCCAATTTCGCACCTCCGATTAACATGATTGGCTACGTACGGTGTGAAAGAAGTTAAACATGCATACAAACGTCACGTTATATTTCTTTTAAGTCCAGTGTTATTGACAATGTTGAGTGTATAAATATGTAAACATCCTACTTTTGCTAAATGTTTATTGTAGATAACACGCTATCTACAACTTAAACATCAGCTGAAATTCAAAGCACGTGTTTATTCGGCATTGAAGAGACAGCAGGCGTGTTGAAAAACGTGATGGGATTTAATCGTGCCACACAATGCACGCCTACAAAACGTGTTATTCACACGGGTGTACACGTCGCGCGAGCAACTGGTGAACTTGACATTGCGATTGGTTTAGCTCGTTTTTCTTATTGCTGTTTTACAATTTATGGAGACGAAAAAATTGTAACGGAAAAAATTTGACGACAAATTATATTATTTGAAACTGATATATTGTCTGGAGTAGGAGCTTATAAGTAACACATGCCCGATTGTACGCTCGTTTTCTCAAATAAAACACGAGACATTTATTTACAAACAAAGACAAATGTGAACGATAATACAACCCAAAATGTACCAAATTGATTAATATTATGGTCTACTATACAAAGGCTTTAAAGAACTCTTAAAAGTAATTGCAAGGATTGCTTTCATTTAGTTTTGATACGCCTAACACCAGAATGTATTTGAAAGGTACACTCCTGTTTGCAACGGGCACTTGTATGCCCAACATCAGCTCAATCTAGAAAAGTGCTGAATCTCAGCGCAAGAATGAGACTTAAAAAAGAAAAGAAAATACTCGATCGGTTATTTTTTCATTCGTGTCTGCTTGGTTTTAGAAGTTAAAGATGACCATGTGCGATTTCCACTGCATGGGGACCTCGACTGAAAATCATCTGCTTGAACTCTTAGAAAATGTAACAAGATGCATCATGCCCTGAAACCACACAGCCATAATAATATAAAGTAACATTTGTGTGTGATGTCTGACCTCCGGTATGAAATTTAAAATCATAAAAAAAACTATTTAAATGTTGTACAACTGCCACATTGCTGCACATGCCAACAGACGTTCCACATGTGCAGCACAAATTTCGATTGAGAAGCGCACTTTACTACCTGGAATCGATTTGTTCCAATTGCTGCAGTGGAATGGATTAAACTGGTTTGGCACAAATGAAATCTAAAGGCTTCATCCGTGGCCTCCCCAATTGTTACAGAAACACACAGCATCGTGATCCTTTGTATAAAGGTGTCAGTTTTTGTGCCAGATAAAAGGGTAAAAACCTATTACAACAACATCAAGAGTACTTTACTCGCAATTACAAGACTCCGAATTCAAATCTTGGCGGCTGTGTGTTAAAGTCAGCCCAATGATCCTGAGATCAAGGAAATAAGTACCAGTGTGGAAAATAAAAAAAAATCATCCTACGGGGGAGACAAACCCTCGACGTAGAAATGCGGAAATTTCCACCACTTGCTCTGCTGCTAACAGAGTTGAACACCGTTGATTGCTGGTTTGAGCTGGTCGCTCAGCCGAGGGGAGAGCTCTTGCAAATGATGCTATCCTGGAGCTCACTGGAGTTATCACCTGGTGAAACAAATCAAACTTGAAACAAGTGCAGCGAGACCTTTTGAATTGACAAACAAAAAAAAACGCGGGCAAGGCTGCCATGGAACACGTCGCATTTACGAGTGCTTCTCAACTCGTCACAGGAATTTTCAGTCGCCTCTGCATGGCAAATAAAAAAAAAACCTCATGGGACCCCAAACTTTTCGCAGAAATTGTTATAATTTTCACAAGTGTTTCGTGCAAACGTTGCATTAATTGCCGAACGCATCGGTATTTACTTGCATAATCTGATCCTAGATGGTACTTGTGAATTTGCAAAGTCAAAATGTTGTAGCTTATATTATCTCAAACAAAACATCGGTAACAATAGCTCCGTTAAGGAGCTAAACGCTTTTACAAGGTGCATTTTGCTTAAATGAGCCAACTGTTTAGCTGTAAGCAGCTTATTTACTTGTTAACTGCTCCAACCTTAAGAGGCTATCTGTATACTACAAGGTTACTTTCATGGCTAATTTTACACACGGTGGTCTGTGTGACGATTTGCTAACATACGTAAGGCAGCGAATGGAATGAATGTTAACGTGCATGTGTATCCGTACATGCGCAGCATCAGGATGCGCTCCGGTGCGGATGCCAACGTGGGCGATGGATCCCATGGGGCAACAGCGGCGACGACGAATATACTACCACATCCGTGTTCTTTGGCAACACTAAGAGCTCGTGTGAGCGTGTCGGAGCTTGTTAAAATTGTGTTCGTATACTTTTAAATAGCGGGAAAATTACATCAATTCCAACAAACAGAAAAATAATATACAATTACTTAACCATCTGTCAATACACACTGCATAACTAGGCTGATTACACTGATATATGTATATATCCTGCTTTGCCACTTTATTCAATTGTACAGGTTTTAAAAATAAATTCATCCACACATTTAAAAACATCAGTTATTGGTGTAACCAATTTTTTTTTCAAAATTTGAATAACTTTGCCTTTTGTTAAAAGCGCTTATGTACAGAGTACACAGAAAATTCAACAGCTGCACAGAAGGATTAAGCTAAATAGACAATTAGGCCTGAACTACAAAGCAAGACCAAGAACGTAAAATAAAGTGGATATACGCGGTGCAGAGCTTAACGAATGTGCCATGAACAAGGAGCCGCCACACAGGTGTTGCGGTGTCGAGGACACGTGCGGGCAGCTCGGTTGTGTCCTGTCCAATGGAACACGCGAGTCTTGGGACATAAAAAGAAACCCAACACCTGGAATGAATGTGTTTATGTGCGTGCACGAGTCTCCATCCATCAAACACGGAAGCTCTTCTGGCCCCTGTTGTGGGTGCCCGAGTAACGTCAATGCCGGACTTGGCTTTAGCCAAAAGCAGGACGACAACGAACGCACCACCACGTGGTTCTTGCCCCGCCCCCCCCCCCCGCAAACCGCACCGGTTTGGGCACTCAAATGTGCGGCGTGAACTTGCACAGCGCCTTTGTGAATCCCGCTGCTGGGTGAGGGCCTTACATACCACGAGGGCTATTTTACCACGATTCCCGTACAGGACACGGTATCCAATGTGGTACAAACCATAGACTTAACTCTTGACAACAGACAAGGTGGTGGTAGTGCCTTATGTTTGGAAACTTTACAGCAATGTGACGATTACACAACTGACATTCACGATGATACAGATAGATTGCCTTTGCCTATAGCCGCTATAGTAAAATGTATACATTTCAAACATTTAAAAAGTCACGGTATATCTTCAGAATTAAAGTTTTGATCATAAACATTTGAATGCAGTGTATTATATATTTTATAGGACCTGGGGTACATTTGTGGTGGCAAATTGGCAGTTTCTCTCGATATTTGGTGAGAAGGGGGAGACCAGCAAGATAGCCACTATTTTTTGCTGGTCTTGCCATTTTGTTAATCAGAAATAGGTGTAAACTGCCTTTATTTGGCCACCAACACATCAATAAGGCCCCTAATCTCAACTTAAGCATGTAACGAGATAACATGTAACGGAGGACATTGGTGAATGAAGAAAGGAGGAGCGCTGACGGGTGACGAGATGATTTGATTAACCCGCTCTGAACTGCTGAGTTTTGTTCATTAGGCAAGTCAACATACAGCTACCGCCACGTGCAATGCACGGACGCCACGGTGAGCACAAAGTGTAACTCTCTCGGCATGTAACAACTCAATCCCTGTCAGATGTTTCAGGTCATTTCAATGCTCAAGAAACAATGGAATTCTTTTTGTTGCAGTTTTTCTCGTCTGTAATAAAATTTGTCTTTGTCCATCTCGTGCATTTTCTTATTCCAAACGTAACACGGGTATGTACATTTCATGAATTGGAAACATATAATATATATTCTGACCGGCACGATAAGAGGAATGTTTCACAATGGGGGTGGAGCAGTGGTGCAATGGTTCATGTACTGCGCTATTAATCCCGGTTACCAGAGTTCGATTCCAGGCCACGAGTGACATCGGTGGCGAGTGATATCAGTGCCGGTTCTGGGCAAACCATTCACAAACCCACACTGATCAGCTGCGTCAGGTGTCACGACACACACAGCATGGGCAGGCCTTCATCCAGCAGTGGATTGACAAAGGGCTGTGATTATCATTGTGAGAGAATCAGTGTTAACTGTTTGTTACATGCCTACTAAACCACACGCGATGAACCCGACTGACCCTTGCGTGCTCAATCTTGCATTGCCAGCATGGTTTGTCGGGACTGCCATACAAGACCGGTTATGAAAACATGCATACACATTCTCCAACCAGTCTGCAAACCTCTTCAGTTGTACACCTAAGTAAAGTGGCTATATATATGAATGACCAAGGTATAATGGAAAGAGAGGGTCGTTAAGGGTTTGAGACTTTGTGAAACCCACAAGCCAAACCCTTTCGCCGAGAATTACCAATACGCAGCATGAAAAACTACTTGGTCACACAAAATGGCCTTCGTACAATCCCCTTGTGATGGCTAAAATGACTGCATTATGTTACTGCAACACATGACAATTGAACCAGCCATTAATATTAAATATAACATCATTATAATTTCACGATTGAAAAAACAAATGACCAAAAGTAGTGTTTTTTTTCCCGCGATAAAATCTGGTCATTAATCCTGCTGAGACGAAGGATCAATTGTGACCTTAAGACGTGAAAAACAGTCGAGAAGAAAAGCTACAGGCATCAGAAGACACACCGCCGCTGCTCTAAGGGCAGTGCAGAAGGCCATGCTTTCGACATACAGCGAAGTATGGATGAAGCAAGTGTGACTCAGTCTAACTGGTGCATGTGGGACAGTCACCCACACACACACCACTCCTACAAAGAAAACCACATCCTCTTAACTACATTCCCACTGTGGGTTTAAAGGAACAATTACTCACCAACACTTGACTGCCTGTGTGCCCTCATGGCCCACAAGGCCGTTTCTGTAAATGGGAGTTTATTTTGGAACGCAAATAACCACCCACTAATGAACGACAGGGAGTGGTGGGTATATTTTAAAAAAAATTAAAGAAGGTACTGATACAATTAACATTTTCTTGCATTTCCTACACAAGCCCCAAGTCTCAGGGGCATGTTATCACATTCTTCGGCCAGTAAAATTAGGCCAGGTAGCCCTTACAAAACTAAATCATTTTGTAGGTGAAAGGGTTGATTTAAAAACAAAAAGGCATATTCACCTCGCTATGAGGTGCAGGTCACGTAAGTTTTGGCTGCATGAAACAAATGTATACTAACAAAAAACATAAAAACACCAAACCTCACTACATAACTCTGAAATGCTTCAGTCAAAAAAAAACTCGGGATACTTCAGTTTTGGAGCACAGGTAAACACATAAGATGAAGGTACATTTTTTGAAATGTTCCATATAAGAGAATCCTTTATCATCTAAAAATAAGCACTCATCTGCAGGACATGTAGAATTTTCATGAATTATAGAGCCCCATTATTGTTATTGCTATGGTAACGTTGGCCAAAGGCTGGTTGGGTTTTCAAGGCAAGCACAAAAACATCCGACAAGCTTATGCAGAAAAAGCTCGCATGTCCTCGGAGAAACCAAATAGTCCGAAGCGCACAATTATGTACAAGAGGGACATTCTGGAAACATAACCGGATTAGATTTCCTATGCTTACCAGCAGCAAATGTGGTTTTACCGGTCTCTCAATAACGCATCGAGCCATTCACTCAGAATGAGTCCCGAGTAAGTAATATAGTCACAACTAGGTTCAGGATTGCATTCTGCCTTGTTTTCCCACAATTAATGCCAAATTCTTGGCCATTAAATCCACTCCAGTCCTTTTTTAAGCACTGGGCAATAAGCATTTTTGACACAGAGTGTGTGTGTAGGAAATCTCTCTGGCGGTCGGGTAATACATTTTTGTACCGTTTTGCCGGGAAAAGTGATGTGTGCATGTAATCCAGCACGGTGGCCACAGGGTTGGTGAATCGCACACACATGGATGGAAAAGTGCCAATCTGCTGGGCCGTGACGACGCCAGTGAATTGTGGTACAGCAAATCGGTAGCCTGACCCATCTGTGTCGAGAATCATTCCTCTTCACACGGTAGATTTCCTATGGGTACTCCAATGTATTACCACATGCAAAAACCATCATTAAAAAGCAACTGGTCAAACATATCGATGCAAAAGAGCCGATTCAACAAGTCTTGACACTCCGCCAAGGCTTTTATGGATAAAAAAACGCCATCCATATATTTTTTGTAATTACTCGCCAAAAGTTATTTCGTCTACACTCGGCTAAAAGCATCAATTGTAACAAATGTCCTGCTGCCAAGTTACAATGAGTGACCTGCCCGGTTGAGCTGCGGACGAGGAGGTTTTATCCGACCGGCCTGACGCTCGACTGTGCCGAAGCGCCTCACATCATCGCCACTCTACATCTCGGCGCCACGTCTCCCTCCGCCGGGGTGCCGTGCCGCCCTGTCCTCCTCGTCCTCGTACACCTCCTCCTCCTCCTCATCGCCGCCGCCGCCATCAGCACCGCGCCTCGCGTGCCGAGCAGCGTTGGCGGCGCCGGCAGCCGCGGGCCCCACGTGGCCCTGCCTGTCGCCATCTTCGTCCTCCTCCTCCTGAGGACAAAGAGGAAACGGATTTCCCACTGCTGTGAGGTTTTCCCCGTGAGACGATGCGCTTTCTTTGTACGAGGTTGACGAGCAGCCACGCCAAGCACACGTCGATACACCCCCCGTGAAAGACGATAAAAGCTGGCGGTACGTGCATCAAATCGTGCGCAGAAGAATCAATTTGGATCGTACGTATTTGTATGTCATTTTCCATCATGCGTTTTAGAGTATTTGCCTGCTATAAATTTGCACGTGAAAAGCCACTTCATTAGGCTATAATTTGTGGCCAGGTCACTTCTGAAAAAAAGCTTTATAGCTCAGAGGACCTCACCTGGTAAATTGATTCACTGCAGGAGCTACATTCACCACTGGAAACACAACTGACCAATTTTGCGTATCGAATGTTAACAATCGAGTCGTAAAGGGGAGCGAATGTCTTCGTGACCGTTTATAACTATTGTGCCAGGAACAATCGGTCAGCAGTTCAGTGGTTTCGAAAGCACAAGGTTTCAAGATGAGAGCTGGGCAAGGCTTAATCTAATCCAATGAGCAACATCAAGGATGTTGATCAAGGATGTCAAACAGTTGCCTTGATAATGGGAGCGCCACTTGAATCATAAATAATTTAGTCGGGCACGGTGGCTCACAGACAGTTTGTGCCACTTGCACAATACTCTTTAAAAAAAATCCCAACGATCCGAACATAGGACCGTCACAAAAGAGTCTTGGCGACTCCGTGTGAGGCTTTCAGAGATAAACAAATCAAACATCACTAGCGATGTCATCGCATCCCCCACCCCGCATCCCGCACCCCCCGTGTCACTCACGTTGCCGTGGTCGTAGTGCTCCTCAACCTCCACGGCGTCGTCCGGGCCTACGTCCCTGCCCGTGTCGTCCCCGGGGCCCTCGACCTGGTGGCGGCCGCCGTCCTGAAGGGTGAACACAGGGAGGGCGGCCACACGTCAGTGCTCACGTCACGGACGCCCCTCCGCGTGGCCCCAGTGGCACAGGAGAGGGGGAGAGGGGCGTCTATTCGAGGGGTGTGCATCGATCATCGACCCTCTCCACGATTCTGACGAAATTTCACAATTCGGGGTTGTGAATGGAGCAATTAAAGTGTGCCGTCACCCTGGCCGGCTTGAAGACGAGCAAACATTTCTGTCTCTGATGGATAGAGATCTTAAAGCGTTAGGCACACGATCCTCTTCAAGTTGTCGGCGAATTAGCCTTCACTTCAAGAGGCAGACAAAGGCTAGCAGCAAGTGGTACAGAGTGCATCTATAGCATAGGCCTTGCCTGCTCCTCCTGGTACTCCTGCTCATTCTCCTCCTGTTGGTCAGGCTTTCCAGCCACCTGCAAGATAAAGAAAAGATCCCCTGTGTAGTCCTGAACAGACTGTTGGGGCAAGTGCTGTTTGTGAACACCTATCAATTGGTGGTGTGGCCAGTACCATGCCCAGCTACTTTTGCCTCCCTAGTGTAGGTGTTTTACACACCACACCAAGTACTACTTATTTCAAACCGAGTCGACACAAGGAAGGCCCAGGTCAAGTTCTCATATCATTTGCCACTCATCTTAGCCATTGTCAGGAATCAAACTCAGGTTCGTAACGCAGTGCACTACACATTGTGCCACCACTCCTCACAAAGACGCATATAGACAGACAGTGGCGCAGACTCAATCACACTGATAAAAATAAAAACAGGTCCTTGCAGGGTGGGCTGGTAGGAACATTGGAATTTTTTTTACACCCAACAGCACGAGATTTCACTTCGTTAAAGTATTGAAAGGGGACGGACGGACGCACGCACGGACACATTAATCTATTGCAGGCTGGTACACTCAGTTTACAACTTCGTTCCTACCAGTAAAACCAGGTGGTTCAGTTAGAGCACCAACATGGCACTGCTGACACCCTGGGTTGGGATCCAGGCAGTGCTGCCTGTAATTAAACTATATTGTCAAGTATATGGAATTGATGGTCTGAGCTTGGTTACCAATGACTGTACAAAAACAACCCAATATGTTAAATGTGATTCTAATCTTCAGAGTTGGTCCTGATAATTAAACAAAAATATTGGTTTCATTGTCATGCAATGCAACATTACCCTCCGTAGCAAATTATTTGCTGATGCTGTGTTGGCACTATATAACAAGGACATTTAACACAAACTTAAAACATTCTCTATTTACGTGTTACGAAGACAGGCTATTACTTGAAACATCGCCTTTGTTTATATTTTAAAGCCAGTGTCATTGACGAATGTGCTGTGTTCTCTGAAACGGGGCAAGTGGGATAGTGTTGCTCTGTACTATGAGGATCAGGGCTTCATTTTCACGGGATCTCAGAATTGGTTCCGCGATATTTGCTTCTGCAGGCCGTTCGCGAGCACAGCGTTGCATGGGCTCTCTCGAAAGTTCTGGATTCACCTCATGTATGTACGTATGTTGAACTTCTTTGCCACTGTATGTAGACAACCGTGCCAATCGGAGGTGCGGGGGTGAAGACAACAAACTAAACACAAAAGGCAGTTCTAAAGAAATTAGTCTTCAATCTACATTTAAAAGTACAGCGATAGCACAATCGCAATACACAGAGGAAGAGGAATAAAACCCCCAGAAAACACGAAATACACATGCGGGCCTTACGACGAGCTGGTCGTCCTCATCCGGCTGAATTCCGTCCGCGTCGCCCGCGCCCGCCGCCGCCGCCGCCTCGGGACCAAGGATGACGGCGCCGGCGCCGTGCCGCCCCAGGTCGGAGCGCACCCTCTGCTGCAGAGCACGCTCCGCCTCCTCAAACTCGTCCCGCCCGTCCCTGCCGCCGCCGCCGCCGCCGCCGCCGCCGCCGCCGGGCGCCACCCCCGCGTGCCGCCCCTCCCCGCCGCCGTTAGCGCCGTCCCCAAACCTCTCGGCGGCGTCGTGCGTGTCCACTGCCGCCCCCCCCCCTCGCGCCCATCGCCGCCGCCCCGACGGCGACGCGCTGAGCCCTCTCCTGCAGAGCCTGCTCCGCCTCAAACTCGTCCTCGCCCTGGTTGTTTGGGTCGTTAGCCGGGTTCTGATCCTCTTCGTCTTCCTGCTCCTCTTCTTCCTCTTCCTGCTGCTGCTGCTGCTGATGCGGCAGCTGCTGTTGCTCGACGTGTTCATCGTGGTGTTCATTGTGATGCTCCACCCGTGCTGCTGATGGAGCCGGCTGGGCATCAAGCGCCAGTCAATCATATATGGACAGTGTTAATATAACATATTTAATGGAAAAAACACAAAATTAATGGGACTTTACTGTTATAAAATCCACGACATTGCACTTCAATCAAATGGACATATGATGTATGTACGTATGTTGAACTTCTTTCCCAACGTACGTAGCCAACTGTGCTAATCGGAGGTGCGGGGGTAAGGACACAAAACTCAACACAAAAGCAGTTCTAAGATCTGTAGCATGCAGTAACCTCTGTACTATCACAGAACGTCCATGAAATAGGGCCGTTCCTGCTGAATTAAATAAAATCTAAATCATCGATGTACAACTTTGAGTGTTATCCCCTCGTATGCATGGATTTTCTCCAGGGACTCCCTGTTTGCTCATACATGCCAACCACGCATCAATGGAATCATCTAAACATCCCAAAATCAGCAACCTCCTTATAAAAATAAATGTGAGACTCAGTGAGGCTTTCCTGGATAGAACAAATGGCATTATCTTTGTTTTGGTTGTGTAATCAATTAATAGTCTTGGAATTCCCTGGCAAAGCCAGGATCGCGGCTTCATAGGATCATCTACATCAGAACAAATTGCTTAATTCCAGCAGTACCTCACTATTAACCAATACCGGGGTATTGTATTTCAGCGATACCCACAATACCAATAGGTGTTGTGTCACCACACCACAATAAGTGTAGAGATCTAGTATCAGGGTCGCAAGCATGGCCAGCACCACACACTGCAGCAGTGTATAACCACAGGCTTAAAACTAGAAAATACACAACGCATGGGCAAGGGGCGGAAGACGGGGCAACGTACAATCAAGGGCTGGTGCTGCTGAAGCTCGGGCTTGAGAGGCGCTAAGTTGGCCCGAGCTGCTTCCTGCTTCTCTGCTACGGAGTCTGCACACAAGGAAACACAGGGAGCTTTGTCACGCGGATTATTGTCCCCTCCACCCAATAGGGGCAGAGCACAGACACGGGCCAAGAGGAAGCAATGGTCACACGCAATCTTCAACCGTGAGCGCTTGGTACACTCTGGGACAGTAAAGCACAAAGCAGCAATCAGGCCTTTAAAATGACAATAGTTAAATATAGTATAATATGAATAAAAAAAAAAATTCCCAACTATATTATAGGTGTGCAAGTCATGAGATGAAAAATTAATTCCGAAACTCGCACAGCAGTGCGCCCCCCCATGTGGAATTAGCACCAGTGTATCAGTGGCATCCACGGGGTTTGAATGCCATTCCAATGCTCAACTGAGCAGCAAGACACTTTGATGAAAGAGATGAAATTATCAGAATAGTTAAGTCCATCACCGAAAGGGTTTCAGTAGAGCTCTGACTGTCCCGAATACAGTGGTAAAGCTTACTCAGTTCTACACCTAACAAACAGATTACAAAGACAATCGAGTTGTTCGCAGAAATTCCCACAGGTTTTCAGTCCACCATTGCCGTAGATACAAGGGAAGTGTTACCCACAGAGACCTCGCAGTGACCTGTGCTCTGACCTTGAGGCTTGTGTTCATCTGCGGCTTCAGGGTTCTTCTCAGACTCATTTTTCTCTGGTTCCTCCTCTTCCCCTCCCTCCTTCCCATGCACCCCCTGGTCAAACATTGCCTGCTGCCTACAAAAATAAACGATACACACATGCCCCAGTTAGCCTTACAAACCCCACATAGGTACGTGCGGTGCAGGTAGTAACCACGCCCGGCTGCCTCTGTTTCCACAGCGCTGTTATCTTGAGACCACGTACTCACTAAAGGCTTAGTTGACCTAAGGAAGACCCAGGATGGACGGTTTGAACTGCCATCATTTGCCATCGATGAGCATGGGCAGGAATGAAACCCACGGTGGGGATCATAGCAGGGTGGGCTCACAACAAGCACAGCCACACGTACACTCCCACTTCACGTGGCTAATACCACGCACACACAGCCACACGTATACTCTCACTTCACGTGTCTCGTACTACGCACACAGCTACGCGCACACTCACCACTTCATGTGGCCTTTACCACACACGCACAGCCACACGTACACTCTTCCTTCACATAAGATGGTGGTTTAGATTTAACTTGTACTCTTTGTTCTAGATAATTAAAAAACATGGGGGGGTGGCGGGCGGACGAGTAAGCGAGCAAGCCAGTGAAAGTGACTGAGTGGGTAGGTGAGTGAGTGGATGAGCGAGTGAGCGTGTGAGTGAGTGGGTGAGTGAGAGTGGGTGAGTAAGCGAGTGAGCGAGTGAGTTTGTGAGTGACCAAGTGAGCGAGAAAGCACACCAATAAGTAAGTGTGGGGGGGTGAGTGAGTGAGTGAGAGCGAGCGGGAGCGAGCGCAGAGTGGGTGAGCGACCTGATTCGGGCCTGCCTCAGGCTCTCGTTTTGTTGCTGCGCTTCCTCCTGCTGGCGCAGCGCTGCCTGCCGTGCCTCCTGCTGCGCCAAGCGCTGCCGGTAGATCAGCTCTTGCTGCTCGGCGAGCCGGCGCGCCGCCTCCTCGCGCTCCTTCGCCATTCGCTGCTGCTCCAGCTGCGTCTCGTAGTGGCTCTTCACTTTGCTGATCGGCGTCTAAGAGGTCAGTTGCCAAGAGGTCACCGTTCAAACCCCCATGAATCCCGGTGATCTGAATGGCGTTCAAAAACAACTCGCAAACACCTTGTTGTGAAAGACCCAACGCAGAAGATCCCTGGGTTTGATCTTCCACAAAGCTCCTGGTCCACCACAAATCAAATCCGCACAAACCATGGCAAATGCGGATACTTGATGCACAAATGGAAAATTAGAAACTCTCCAGCAGTGTGCGACTGTGGTCATCCAGAACTGACCATGCAACATATAACGACGCAAAGCCCAATCCGCAAATACAAAGGAGACATCACAGCGATACACTCCGCTGCTCTTGACGCAGTTATCCGGCTTGACCACCTGAATGTGAAATGGTAGTTGTTGCTCTGCATCTACATCAGCCATACGAAAGAAGAAGACCATATTGTTTACTACCTTCTTGCACTTGTTATACAGCCGACATAATATTTCTATAAACTCTACATATGCAGATTCTGCACATGTCCATTTACTGGTTATGCTTGGTTATCCATGTAAGCCTCGCTGAATCTCACGACTCTTTCTCAGCAGGGTCCTGCTAAGTTTTTGCAGTAATGTGCAACGATCGCCACGTGCTCCATAATTGAGTGATTAAAGAGTATGTTTTAAAAAGTTGGCAAATTTGTACCTAGACGCTGGCACACTACTGTTCTTCAAGTGACCTCACGTGACCTTTCACGTGCACTCTGAAGACGACCGAGCGTACTCGAACCGCAAGCCTCTGCAACGCATGGTGATTGGGCCACCGCTGGGTCGTGTCCGTGACTCAGAATTACATTTCACCAGAATGAGAAAAGAGACGGTTTGTGAAACAATTCACGATTCCAATAGGGACAATTCATTAAATTGCTTAAGGGGGTAAATCATAACATCAGCTCTGGACAAATAACTCGGCCCGCCTTAACTCAGCGGGGCGATGAGAAAATAATTCTGGACAAAGTAGCTGAATCAGACGTTAATGTATATTACCTGTTGGCCAGGCAGCTGGTTCTCCTGAGGTTGGATTTGATTGTCCTGCTTCTGCTGCTGCTGCTGCTGCATAAGGCGATCTCTCTCAATGCGCGCCTGTCGCTGTTTGTCTAACAACCCCTGCACATACACAAACACCAAGATAAATCACTCGTGTAGGCTACACAGACTGTTGGGGCAAAGTGCTCCTGGCGAACACCAATGAAGGCCGGCCGGCCGGCACAGCCCACGAGGGGCTGCTGTGGCCAACGCCACGCCCGAGCACATTTGTCTCCCCAGTGCCTATGTATACACACCACCCCAAGTACTTAAGGCTGAATCGACTTAGGGGAGGCGCAGGACAGGTTCCGATATTTTCCAATGATGTTAGCAATGGCTGAGAATTGAACTCAGGTAACAAATAAACAATCTAAATGGTGAAGTAGGCTAACCACTTTACCACTGCTGCACACGCTTGTGTGTGCACACAAACACACACGTGTGCGCACACACACACACATGGGACATTCATGATTCCAGGATCGTGAGAAGAAGGGGGAGCACGACAGGGGCTGGTCATGGTGTTGGCTACAATGGGGAAGCTCATATTGATGTTCACCTAGAGCACTGGCCCCAAAATTTCACAAGGATATGTAAAAAAGCTTTGTCTTGTAACTGCGTATGGTTACACACAATGTGGGGAGCGGTAATGTAGTGGTTAGCGCGCTGCGCTACGAACCCGGCGACCCGAGTTCGATTCCCGCTCACGGTCAAAACCAGTGACAATTATCTGAACTGGTCCTGGGCCTCCCCTAGGTTGACTCGGCCTCAAATTAGTAAGCTGGTGCGTTGTGTAAACATCGTAATGAGGGAGACAAAGGTGGTCGGGCATGGTGCTGGCCATCCATCCCGTCGTGTACCGTGCCGGCCTTCATAGGTGCTCCCGAACAGCACTTGCCCCAACAGTCTGTTAAGGCTATACAGGCGATCTTTGTCTTGTGTGCACACAGATACTTGGGTAACTGTGCATTTACCTGTCGCTCTCTTCTCTCTACTTCAAGCATTTGTTTCGTTTTCTCATCCAAATGTGACTCATCCTGATGTGTACACACAAACAAATATGCGTATGTCCATGTCCATATAAACGAGCAATGCATAGCCTTTAAATAATTAACTTAAAACCTTTTCCATAATTGTCCTGCTTCGCAATTAAGATACAAGTTGTTGTTTAACAGTAGGACCCTTTAAAAATTGCAACAACTTTCATAACATCAACTGCTATATATGTACAGCAGTGGATTGACCATAATGTATATCAATAATATATATTAATTACCCACAGGCTGACCCACTGGTAATGCACGCCAACCGCTAGGATAGTCAACCGGTCTAACAGTAATAATAATAACTGCCATTCATCACTAAGTGGTGGTGACATCACCACGGTGCATGTGCCAGGAGTGGAGCACCCCGAGGCCACGTGAAGTGTCAAAGGCTCGCCGACAGGTAACGGGACAGACCCAAGTGTTACAGGTTGACTGGCAGCTGAACCGCCAGATGCACCGTCTGTCCTCTCCACTGCCACCTCACTGCATTTTAGCTGCCATGCACTCCGCTCTAGTGAGCGTTGCTCCTCCTCCCTCCGTTGTTATTGTTGGATGGCGACTGCCTCCAACTGCCCAGTAGCGACATTCGCAAGCTTTCTCCACCAACATTATTGTTACCGTCACAGGCGATGCGAGTTTGGGGTTTGTTTGCTTACTTCAGGTGGCCGTCGGTCCCGCTGCACCGCCTCTGCGGCCACCGCCTTGCGCCCCGAGTCGGCTGCCTGCGCGCCGCCCTGCGCCCCTTGCATGAGGCTCGGCATCTTATTCAGAGTCTCCTTCAGCTGCTGGTACTCGCGTACTTCCACCTGTGCTCAGGCACCACATGCACACGAGGAACATGACGAGGATCCTCCCCGCTCAGTATTACAGCATATTAAGAGCTGGTGCTGGTAGCGAGCACCTGTATGTATGTATGTTGAACTCCTTTCGCATCCGTAGATAGCCAACCGTGCTAATAAGGCAAGCATGGCAAGCAACGTGTAGCAGATCGCCATGCCTAGCTTCATTTGTCTCAACAGTGGCCGTATTTATGCACCATACCAGGAACTCAATAAAGTAATCGTAGTTCACGGTATGCACAAGATAGGTCCAGATACTACTTGCCATGGATGTACATCGCCAAGGAATTGAACCTCGGGTGCTGGGATGCGAGTGGCACGTGTGAACCAATGCACCACCACTTTTTGAAAAAAAAAAAATGCAAAAATCCCCCATATAGCCTTAACACACTGTTAGGGCAAGTGCTGTTTGTGAGCAACTATGAAAGCTGGTACAGCACACTACGGGGTGGGTGGCTAACATGCCCGGCTGCGTTTGTCTCCCTAGTGGCGATGTTTACACACCACACCAGCTATTCATTTGAGGCTGAGTCGACCTAGGGGATGCCCAGAACCGGTTCAGATAATCGTCACTGGTGTTGGCCGTGAGCAGCAATCAAACTCGGGTTGCCAGGTTTGTAGCTAACCGCTACCCTACCGCTCCGCACTTGTTGCACACATAAACACAGACACATAAGTGTACAGCTCTTTTATCAATCGACTGCTGGATGACGAGGTCCTCCCTGCACAGTGTGGGTCGTGGTGGACATTTGACCATGGGGTGAGTGTGGGGTCATGAAGGCGAGCAGCGGAAGTACAACACAAAAACGCATTTTCCTGAAATGCCCTCTGCTGTCCACAACATAGTCCTGCACACACAGACAACGAAAAATACAACTGCACAATGTTTGCCCAATTCAGGCCAACTATAAAAACTATAACCTATATTTATTTCACTAGGTAAGGCCCAATGAACTACTTAGCTCTTTTTCAGAAGCTACCTGGTCACAAATAATCACTTAACGTAGTGGCTTATCATCACGTGGAAAAGTATAGCAGCCAAATACTCTAAGCGCATGTTTTAAAATGTGGATGGAAAAACCGGAGGACCCGGAGAAAAAAACATGCGACCACGGGGAGAACATTAAAACTTTAAATATAGAGGTGTCAGGGTTGGCATCGAACCCACGAACTCTCTGTATACCAGGCGAGGGAGTTAACATCTCGCCACCGTGGTGCCCATCACAGTCCTGTTAGCGAGCACCTATTTTGGCTTGTCCACTAGCATGTGATGGGAGCAGTGGCCACAGCACCAGCAGCAAATTACACCACTTTGCTGATGTCGTATTTGAAATACATAAATAAACAACAAGGCGCCCGTGCGACGCTGCTCACCTGCGCTTTGGCCAGTTGCGACTGATGCTGCCGAAGGGTGTCCTTGAGCTGTTCATGCTGCTCCAGCAGGCGGTTGTGATTTTGCTACGAGGGGGAAGAGAAACATGCATGCACACATGCACATACTTATTTTAAAAAAAGACAAACATCCCCTCGTAACAGCCTGTACAGGCTGTTTGGACAAGTGCTGTTAGCGAGCACGCTGCCCGACAAAGGGGTGGGTGGACAGCACCACGCCCAGCCGCCTTCATACCCCCCATTGCTGATGTTTACACACCTCACCTGTACTCATTGAGGGCTGAGTTAACCTTGGGGAGGCCCAGGACCAGTTAAGATAATCACGACTGTTAGCTGAGGCCAGACCGCTGGGTTCTAACACACTGTGCAAACCACTACATTACAACTTTCCATTTACAGGTGTAGTGTTGCTCCGGAGACACTTCGTAGGGGGGGCACGTCTTTATTATCCACACGTACCCTAACTTCTATACATCAGTTCTTCATACAGTTGATATTGAGGACCTCTTCCACTTGGTATATTATATGCCTCCTGTGTAGCGTGCCTAACCCGACTATGCTCCAGGTCCTCCGGCTATAATATACTATGTGAGACTACCTGACCTGACCCAGCCAAGGTACAGGTCCAACACTGACCTCACAGAGCTTCGGTCCTTAAAAGGACGGCGAAGCTAGGGGTTCAGTCATACTCTAGCAGGTCTTCTTTCTTCAACTGGTTATCTTCAACTGCTCCGGTTTCCAACTGCTTCCGTCTCCAACTGCTTCGGTTTTTAAACTGCCTGGACCTCTCCAGAGGTTCGCCTTATATCCGTTTCTCAGCTGAGGTGCGGACTACAGTGAGGGACGTGGGTGACCCCAGAGTCCCCCACCGAGGTCCGCATGTCTGCCGTTGCAGGTCAGTGCAGCCGCAGCCCCCCAGCCTTTAGGAGTGTTTGCGAGGGATCATAGAATCCCTCAAAGCCCCCCAACTGCTTCAGGCCTGCCTGTCATTGCCTGCAAGTGCAGCCCATCCATGGCGCTACACAGATACAAAGACCCCCCCATGTAGCCTTTTATAAACTTTTGGGGAAAATTATGTTGGCGGGCACCTATGAAGGCCAGCATGGAGTACGAGGGGGTGGGTGGCCAACACCACGCCCGGCAACCTTCATCTCCCCAGGTCCCATGTTCACATACCACACCAGGTACTAATTGAAGGCCGAGTCAACCTAGGATATGCCCAGAAAGGGTTCAGATATTCCTCACCGTTATTGGTCACGAGCAGGACTCAAAACCATCAACGGGTTCGTAGCGCGGCACGCTAACAAGTTCACTAGAATTCCCCACACGATATGTTTACACACGTACATACATACATACACAGAAACATATTTGGGCTCTGTTGCAGGCAACATGACAGAGTGGAATGGGGCTTATCACCAGTGGGTGTGGCGCATGTTAAAAGTGAGACTTAGTACGCGTAACATTCTTTTGAAGGTGTGCGTACAGAGTTCAGAGGTGTGGACATTCGTTTCTTTAACTGGGGGGTTAACCTCAGAGGCGAATGCAAAAAAACTGTCAATCTAATGGCTTCACAGTGCCGGATCATTAACACACATTCTAAAATCACAACAAATTACATTAATTACCAGGCCCCAATATTGTACAATGCAGTCTTCAACTCTCATCCACTCTACCTCTCTGGCTTCTCTGTATGTGCAATGAAGAATGGCCAGTGACCGAAACATCGCATATTATATATTTTACTTTTAAGGCCACAGTGTTATTATGAATGCGTTCAGTTTTTATATTAAAATAGCATCTAAACACAACCGCATCTCAAGGGATTTGTTCATTTCAATTTGTAAATTTGTATCCGTGCAAGAAATATAAAAAGTGTAAAGGAAAAAAGGACAAACGATTCGCAATGGGTATAAAACTATCACGAGACGTTGTGTTTAGTTAGTTGTCCATCTCCGCACCTCCGATTAGCACAGTTGTCTAAAAGAAGTTCAACATGCAGTACACATTAGCTTACAGCATGCAATCAACTGCTCGATCACACCAGTGTATTTTTGTATTTGTTTACCAACCCTTACTGTAGTGCATGCAGTGTCTGACCAGAGTCAGTGTCAAGATGTTAACTACCTCACCTGGTAAAACAGGAGATCGTAGGTTCGATACCCCACCCTGACACCTGTATATTTGGAGTTTGCATGGCTCTCTCCCCGTGGATTTTTCTCCGGGTAATTCCCTCCACATTTAGAAACAACGTGCGTTTAGAGTATTTGGCTCCTAGAAAGCTCCACATGATAAGCCACTTCATTAAGCTATCATTTGTGGCTGGCTCACTTCTGAGCCACCATTTTGTGGGCAGGCTATATAGCTCAGTGGGCCTTACCCGAGTAAAAAAATGTTTTTAATTTTTATTCACCTGGGTCTCTTGCAGATGATTGTGCACGTCCTGGTGAGCCTTACGCAACTGCTTGCCTTCCTCCCGCAGCTTGTACATGTTTTCTACATGGCGACAAGGGCAAGGAGCCGCTCGTTAAAAACGCAAAGGCACGAGCAAGCAACTGTGTGTGAAACCGCCGTGCCCCGTGCAGCATGCCAAGGACATAAACGAGCAGCAAGCGCAGCGCGGAAATGGGAGTATTATTATTCAAACGCAAAGCACAAAACGGTCGATTGTCGGGGGGACATTCAAGCAATTTTGTCACATGGCCACGGAACCATCTCACCATCACGCGAGGCCTTGTGCAGATTAGGGGAAGAGGGATGCTCGAGAGAGACAGCGAGAGGCAAAGACAGCAAGAAGATAATTTTTGGAGAGGGGGGCCCTAAATAAATGGATCGCATGTGCACAAAGCACATGTAAACACGTAGATGGCACCATGTGGCCACCAGCAGCCACTCATGTGTCTACTCCTTTGCTAAAATTACATCTGGGTTCCATCAAACCAGTCTCCAAGGAGCAAAATCCATCTGGGGATTCAGCATATGAAATGCAGCGGGGAGGGAAATGCACTTCCTGATGCAAACGCTGCTTGACATCTGAAGCTCTGTGTCCAGCATAGGGTAGTGGTGAGGGAGACACTGCAACCCCTCCACCTTTGTTTGCTAAGTGCCAGTGTTTGTTGACACACCCCGCACCACACACTCCTTTCCAGATGTCAGGTGCGGGAGTGTAAAAGTACTAAGTAGAGAGATCTGTAAATAGGATGGAATAGAGAGCGCTGAACACAAGTTGTGGAAGAGCTAAGTGCTCTGTGTAGAGGGGCCCACGTGCTGTGGTGTAGGGTGCCGGACATAGCATAGCAACGACAAACTGGGCGGAGGGTTCCAAGCGCAGATTGCGAGACGCAGAAGTGCTGCATCAAGATGTTTTTGCACCCTGTGTGTAATGTGCCGCATACGTGCTGCTATGTACATGGCATGGTTTCTGAGTGGCAGGTGCTGAGTAAAGGACAGTTAATGGATGGTAGTGGAGGGGAATATCAGTCGGTCAGTCAGTTTATCATGGGTAAGGTCCATAATATATTGAGGAAGGCATAGGTAATGTGAGAACCATGAGCCAGGGGATAGGGGTGGTATCACATTGTATTTACTCGACCCCTTCGTATTCAATTGGCAGAGCAGCACGTGGCACTTTGCTCTTCAAACCGGGTGACCCGAGTTTTTAGTTACTTGGTTCGAGCACACGAACGCTCTCAAACGGGGAAGCTTTTTTTTCCAGAGTGCGCAGTTCCCTGGCTCAAAAATGTTGGTAGGAGGCACCTGCCTAGGCTCAATTAAACACTCCGTCGCCTGTGGCGCTCAGCCTAGACGACAACAAGTCCACCGTGGAAGATGTCAAGCGTTATACAATTCATTTAGACATGGGTGGAATGGGAGCAGGACAAGACGGGGCTCACGATGCAGGGAGCTGATCTCCGTGTCCTTGTCTTGCTGCAGCTGCCCCAGCTCCTCTTGGTGCCGCTGCAGCGCTTGCTCGTGCGTGTCCTGCAGCACCGTGTGTTGCTCGTGGATGTCTGTGTACTGCTGCTTCAGCTCCTCGTGCTGCGACTGTTGTAGTTTCACGCATACAATACATGTTATGTCGTGGCGTTTTATAAGCAGAACCCTTGTTCTTTTTACATGCGTATAATGCATGTATGTTTAGCTCATCGGCTATATTGGCATTCCAGATGAGCAAGCACACAAAGGTACGGAGGTTCGTATCCTCGGCCACTGGGACCCGGGCTCTTCTGGCCCAGGAATAGTTCCTGGTCTGGCCCAGCAGCATCACCAAGGCCTGGGTAAGTGTGCCCTCTGTGGGCCTCAGTCACTCTCTCTACAATTGGCCACCGCCACCCCTTTTACCCTCCGTGCAAACTGCAGCTAGGGATAGAGGTCAGGAAGGCATTGTTTAAACAAAACGTTTGCTTTAAACATAGATCAATGTTTACATGCATGCGATTAGACTCCATCAGGATCCAGGCTCGCCAGACCCTGGCTATTTTGAATTCCCACTGAGCCGGACCAAGTCATAAAATAGTAAAAAAAAAAATCTGCAATGTATTTCAAATTCAAGAGCGTAGCAAATACCACAGAATAATTTACATACGACATAATTTACAATGTTACGCGAGACATAATAAGATGCACCACAAAATTCTATATTAAGTCTACTTTGAATGAAGCTGGATTAAATGCACTTATATTGTAATACGTTAGCGGTAAGGGAGGAGCTGTGGAGGATGGTCGGAAGGGGTTATGGGGAGGGGCCGAGTAGTGGGGGATGGGGGAGGAGTGGGGAGAGCAGCGTACCCTCGGGTACCTTGGATATAATGAACGGACAGCACAGTACACACATACGTACCATACTTTTTTTGGTCGTTACAATCACACCCCACGCACATACACTACACACACTCATATTTATTACATACCGGCTAGACATACACACTACATCAGGGATTCAGTTATTTTTTTTCCACATTGATTTTAAATGCAGTCGTGGCTGACCCGACTTCATCTATCCGGACAAGGACTCCTCCTCTCTTCGTCCGGCTCGATGGGGGCTTTTACCGTGCTGCTAGTTAAAAATCTTGTAATTTTACCATCTTCTGCCGTGCATTTTGACTGCGGACAGTGGCTGGAAAATTGAACCAAGCGAGTAACATCATGGCGCGTGCCACTTGCTTGTCCGTTCACCCAGAGCTACCGCGAGTGGTTCCAGGATCGGCCAGGGTGTGAAAGTGGCAGCGCCATGGTTATTAAACCGTACCAGGCAGCCGGGCCTGCCCCATCCTTCCTCGTTGATTGGTTTGGCTCAGGCGAACTACCGTAGGAATATGGCACTTCGCCTGGTCTGGCCTGGTTCAAGTAACCAAGCCAGCAGTTCTCAGTGGTCATGGAAACACGGCACGCTTGCTGACGTTACACCAAACAATGCATGATGCATGGTTTCCGTTCTTATCATCAGATGCCAGCGGCTGGTTGCCTTAAACAGCTTTTACATAAAACGCTTAAAATAGAGCATGTTGACCTACATGACAAATTTAGTGGAGTAGAAAAGGGAATTTATTTTTTTAGGAATTATTTAAATGTTGATAATCATAAAACTCACGAGTGAGATTCACAATCGTGTCTCTTTTCAGAAAAATAAGAAGTGAGCCACTTGAAAATGACCGCCAATTATTTATATTTTCGCTACACAATTGGCCGAGTTGTCCAGTTTGGATGATTTGTGTCTAATCCTGTATTTATGAGAATGCAGTAACTGATTTTACAATATATTCTTAGCTCTTTCGGTAAAGTCACGTTGAAGGGAAACAATAAAATAATAAAATATATATAAAACAATAAAAATTCTCACGACGTTTCGACCATGGTCAAAACATCGTGAGAAAGCTTTAAATCATGATTTTACAATGTTATGCTTGGGCTTCAAATGCACATCACTATAGTTAGTCTGCTTTGTAGAATAAACCGGTGTATAAAAATTAGTGGAAACACAATAAGGCTCCAGATCAATATTTAAAAATAACATGTATTTTTGGCATAAAATAAAGGCCATTTTGAATTTCGTTTGTCATTTAAGAATTATGAGCATTTTTTTTATTAGACTACAAGCCTGGATATAGACACTAAGAACAACAATAATTAACTTTGTGGGGAATCCATCAAGGTCCTTAAGATCTTCTGATCTCCAACTGCTCAGCACTCCCAGGTGTAGGTTACGCTCTTTTGGTGATCGGACTTTTGTTAGCGTGGCACCCAAACTATGGAATGCCTTGCCACTTGAAATCAGGCAATCAGAGTCGGCAGATGTAAGTCTGCTTTTAAAAATCCATCTCTTTAAAGTGGACTTCCCTCTTTAGTTTAGTCAGTTGCCCGAGTTCTGTTTTTGTTTCCTGCTTTTCCTGCATTACACATTGGGATTCGAGGATGGAATGTGCATTATAAATTTGAATTCATATTATTATCTCTGCTCAAAGGGTATCAAAAATTTACATTGTGTGACACAATGGTGGCCATCTTGGCAAAATTGTGGCCATCGTAGATTTATAGGTGGCAAATGTTTTTCTCTTCTAAAGTGACCCTAGGAGATAACACGTGCCTAATTTGGCGCTTATATCACCATCTAAACAATAATTTATGTTATCTGCTCCACTAAAAGAGAATCTTCCACTCGATATTTGTTATACAACTGAAGACAAAGGTCTGGGTCTTGTCAGGACAAGATACTGAGACCACAGTAACCGAAGGTGGAGTGTGCATACAAAAGCCATATTCATTAACAGGCGTTTGGAGGCAACAGTGTTGCTTTGGGTGGAGTATGCAGTCCCGTGTACGTAGCCCATCCTTATCCATCTACGTGCACGCCAAGCATCGAATGATATGTGATAAGGATGGCTCACCTTGAGGATCTGGTGCTGGGCATTGAGCGAGTTGAATCTGTTCAATGATTCTTGCTGTTTAAAACAACATGTGGATACACGTGCACGCGCACACACACAGTGGTAAGCACGAGCAGAACAAAACAAATAAAACATAATATTAAAATAATTTCAAATGTACATCCAAACTACTACAGACAATCCCAGGATTGCGGGAGACCCTTACGGAAATGTTGCCATAAATCATGCGAAATAAAATTCAGTACGTGGAAATGTTTGCGTTAGTTACGTAAGCGCAAGTAGTACAGCGCGGTGAGGTTGCGGATGAATACCGCGGAGTGAGGCGTCAGGCTGCCCGCCACTCGAACTTATTTATCTTTTGATTATGGGGGAACATTTTTCAGTTTCCGACATAGGGAAAATTCGGGTTACCGATGGCTCTCGGGAACCGCACCCTTCCGTAACCCGGCTACCGTCTGTACTTTGTGGGAAGTCAACTCAACAATGGTTGTCCTTTGGAGGGACTGGCCACACCATGGGAATGTGGAATTTCCACCAACGAGATGAAAGCCACCCCAGTGCTTTACTTTAAGCAGAGAGAAGCTTTAAAAATATTCATGACATTTGTCGCTAAAGCCACACGATGGTTCCTTATTTTAAGCATGAATAAATAAATGGACCAATTAGAACCCAAACAACAAAACAAATTACAGCTCGCTCGGCAACATTGCAATGTGTGGTATAAAACCAGAACACGTGCTTATATATTTTGCACTTCTAAAGAAGTATATTCAGTTTTACTTGTGCGTGTACTTATCTGGGTATAATGTCAAGTTGAGCACCATTGTGACCCACGCTTCCAGACTCTGATGTTTAGCGGTCATGCATAACGAATGCATCTACCAACGTTTCATTTCATAGACAAGACAAAGATCCCCCCTAGAGCATGAATAGACTTTTGGGGCAAGTGCTGTTAGCGAGTACCTAAGAAATGCCAGCACAGCAGACAAGGGGGTGGGGAGGGGGGATGGTCAGCACTATGCCTGGCCACCTTTGTCTCCCTAGTGGGAATGTGTACACACCACACCAGGTACTATTTTGAGGCCGAGTCGATCTAGGGGAGGCCCAGCAACAGTTCAGATAATCGTCTCTGATGCCAGTCGTGAATGGGAGTCACACTCGAGTTGCTGGGTTCCTCGTGCAGTGCGCCAACCACTGCACCACCACTCCCCGCATTCCTATTATAAGGACAGTCGCACTCACTCACACGTGTGCTGAACTCTCCTTGCCTGATTATATCCCTGTCTCACACCAATCCTCAAGCAAGTTTTACAGGATCCACCCCCACCTACTCTACCCTTAGGTCAGGCTGTCCACAAGTGTGAATGTACTAAACACCACCAGCTGGGATGTGGCTCTTCTGCTGTGCACTGTATGACACCACAGCTGAACTGTAAAAGCAAAACCGAGTTTCCAAGAGAATGATTGCACTGCTCGCTAACAGCACTTGCCCCAACAGTCTGTTAAAGGCTACATGGGGGATCTTTGTGTATTAGTGTGCCCTGGTGAAGACAAAACATGCTTCAGCATACTGTTCAGTACTGATGTAATTAAGAAAAAAACAATAGGCAATATATTTTCAAAACACCATTTACCAAACCATCGTTAATGGCCGTATGTATGCACGCTGGTTTACTAAACCATCGTTAACAACCATATGTATGTACGCTGGTTTACTAAACCATTGTTAATAGCCATATGTATGTATGCTGGTTTACTAAACCATTGTTAACAGCCATATGTATGTATGCTGGTTTACTAAACCATTGTTAATAGCCATATGTATGTACGCTGGTTGACCAAACCATTGTTAATAGCCATATGTACATTTAACTTCTTTCACAAAAATAAATAGCCAACCGTGTTAATCGGAGGTTTTGGGGGGAGGACAACAAAAAGCAGTTCTAAAGAAATGAATTTTAAATTTAGAGACAATAATTATGATTTAGGAACGTGGTAATGATGATTTATAGCCCTCTGTTAATTCACTGCTGGATGAAGGTCTTCCCACACCATTGTCAGTCATGGAGGATGTTTGACCATACTTCCCCACATTGGTCAGTGGGGGTTTGTGAAGGTGGGAGCCCAATACCGAATTAGATACCACTCACCACTGATGTGAACCATGGCTGGGAATCAAACTCAGGTCCTCTGGGTGTCATAGCAAAGTGGGCTCACCACTGTGCCCACCGCTCCACCCTCATATAAACATGACAGGAAAAATACATGATATAATCAATGCTTAGTTTGGCCCAACCTTCCATACAACTGGAGCTTATATACAACTATAAAGCAGCCACGAAATGAATCGCTAAAGCAGCAGGGGATGTGGGAGGTGAGTGGTCGGTGTGTGACACTATGGGTGCAGTACCTTATCCTTGCTCAGATTCTCCTGCACCTCCAGCTTGTAAAGCAGGAAATCTGCATTGCAAACAGAAAAAAAACCTCAATCAGATAATTATTGGTACAAACAACACCCGGGCCTATGGGAATTAACACGCCCGCTAAGGCTGCAATATCTGAGCTTTACTGCAGCAGTTTTGTAACCTTGGGTAAAAGTGATGCCGTAATGGGCCGGAGCTGTGCTCTCTAATCCGAGTGACTGGCGATCCACTCTGCATTCACAAAGGTTGAAATCCAGCACTATGGCATTTCAATGACCCCACTTACCTGCCCACTGGCCTGGTGTGGTGCTCGGTTAGAGTGCTTGATGCACAAGCACAACTCTGCGAGTTCAATTCAAGTTCAGGGGTAAATTGCAATTCAGCATCCCTTGGGGGTCATGAAATTGAATACAGCTTTTTCGTAGTCCTGTACAAACATGTGACCCTGTAATGAGATTGTGGAAGTTCTGCCACTGGCTCAGGGTCACCAAGCGACTTGATTGTTGGCCTGTTGCTCGTTTTCACCTGCCGTTACGAGCGACACCTTTCCTTAGATGAATGTTGGGGCAAGTTCTGTTAGTGAGCACCTACGAAGGCCAGAACGGTACACGAGGGGATGATGGCCAGCACCACGCCCGACCGTCTTTGTCTCTCCAGTAGTGATGCTTGCACACTGCACCAGGTATTCATTTAAGGCTGTAACCGCAGTGTTGGGTTTGCTATAATTTGTCACTGTTGATCAGCGAACCAGTCATGTGCAAAGTAGGTAGAAACCAGCACCTCCAGCAGACATGGCAAATTACATGTGTCAAACGAGGACAAACCATTTGAGGAAGGGGGCAAGGTGGGGACAGTCTTGCAGAAAAATAAAAAAATGTTCACGGTTGTAAACGTCCAGCCTGGACATCTGCGGTTAAATGTTCCACGTGCATTTGGCTCGTGCGGTGAGTGCCAATAGCCGCCAACACGGCGCTGCCAAATTCATCAAAGGCGGTCGTCTGCTGCCCGCACGTCGTGTTCCGTGCGTGCGTCACGTGTCGTGCTATCTGTGGCGGTGGTGCCGCCCCCCCCACCCCCCCACCCGTATGGCATGCCTGGCCCATTCCGTGTGTTCTTTATTCTTCGTTTGACGATAGGTCTCCGGTAGCCAGACGAATGCCTGTGTGGGCCAGGAAGCAAGCACTATGGTGCGCATATTTATGCACGAGTACCGACGGGCCCATTTGCTCTGGGTGTGTCTCACTTCCAAAACTGGATAACTAGATGTGCAAACCATTACTATGACCGTCTCATGTTAGAGCATCGGTGGCCTACGCGCTGCGTTCTAAGCGACGTGCGTGCCGCCCCTCTGTGCGTGTTGCAGCCTGTCCCACATGTGCCTTGCTGCACGCACAAAACATTGAGATACAGGGAGGGAAAAAAGTATTTCATCCCCTGCTGATTGTGTACGTTTGCCCACTGACAAAGAAATGATCAGTCTATAATTTTAATGGTAGGTTCATTTGAACAGTGAGAGACAGAATAATAACAACAAAATCCAGAAAACCGCATGTCAAAAATGTTATAAATTGATAAATGTTATAAATTGATAAAATGATTTCTGGCTCCCAGGTGTCTTTTATACCAGTAACGAGCTGAGACTAGGAGCACACTCTTAAAGGGAGTGCTCCTAATCTCAACTTGTTACCTGTATAAAAGACACCTGTCCACAGAAGCAATCAATCAATCAGATTCCAAACTCTCCACCATGACCAAGACCAAAGAGCTCTCCAAGGATGTCAGGGACAAGATTGTAGACCTACACAAGGCTGGAATGGGCTACAAGACCATTGCCAAGCAGCTTGGTGAGAAAGTGACAACAGTTGGTGCGATTATTTGCAAATGGAAGAAACACAAAAGAACTGTCAATCTCCCTCGGCCTGGGGCTCCATGCAAGATCTCACGTCGTGGAGTTGCAATGATCATGAGAACGGTGAGGAATCAGCCCAGAACTACACGGGAGGATCTTGTCAATGATCTCAAGGCAGCTGGGACCATAGTCACCAAGAAAACAATTGGTAACACACTACGCCGTGAAAGACTGAAATCCTGCAGCACCCGCAAGGTCCCCCTGCTCAAGAAAGCACATATACATGCCCGTCTGAAGTTTGCCAATGAACATCTGAATGATTCAGAGGACAACTGGGTGAAAGTGTTGTGGTCAGATGAGACCAAAATGGAGCTCTTTGGCATCAACTCAACTCGCCGTGTTTGGAGGAGGAGGAATTCTGCCTATGACCCCAAGAACACCATCCCCACCGTCAAACATGGAGGTGGAAACATTATGCTTTGGGGGTGTTTTTCTGCTAAGGGGACAGGACAACTTCACCGCATCAAAGGGATGGAGGGGGCCATGTACCATCAAATCTTGGGTGAGAACCTCCTACCCACAGCCAGGGCATTGAAAATGGGTCGTGGATGGGTATTCCAGCATGACAATGACCCAAAACACACGGCCAAGGCAACAAAGGAGTGGCTCAAGAGAAGCACATTAAGGTCCTCGAGTGGCCTAGCTAGTCTCCAGACCTTAATCCCATAGAAAATCTGTGGAGGGAGCTGAAGGCTCGAGTTGCCAAACGTCAGCCTCGAAACCTTAATGACTTGGAGAAGATCTGCAAAGTGGAGTGGGACAAAATTCCTCCTGAGATGTGTGCAAACCTGGTGGCCAACTACAAGAAACGTCTGACCTCTGTGATTGCCAACAAGGGTTTTGCCACCAAGTACTAAGTCATGTTTTGCAGAGGGGTCAAATACTTATTTCCCTCATTAAAATGCAAATCAATTCATAATATTTTTGACATGCGTTTTTCTGGGTTTTTTTGTTGTTATTCTGTCTCTCACTGTTCAAATAAACCTACCATTAAAATTATAGACTGGTCATTTCTTTGTCAGTGGGCAAACGTACAAAATCGGCAGGGGATCAAATACTTTTTTCCCTCACTGTACGTGTCGTGATTTCTCAATTCATCGGCAAATCTTTTTTACGGTTACGATAAATACACACCGAGTGATGTGTACAAATGTATGCTGCATGTGTATTTGGACAAGATGAAACAAATAGGAGATAGTGGAAACGGCACAGGAAATGCACAAATTATGAGACAGTACAAACAGTGTAGCATATGACAAAATAAAACCGATGCTTCAGTTGAATCTTGACCACAATCATGGCAATTAATTGGAATGAGACGGGGATAATCAGGCAAGGAGAGTTAACTCGAGCGGATAGGTACATGCCAACTTCCCATGCGATGTGGCCCTCGTGCCCAAGTAAGCTCTGTGCATCACGCTTTGCAATTTGAACTTGCCAAGCCGTGTGTTATTTGTTTTTTGCTGCAAACACAACGCACTGTATGCACCATGTGCACTGTTGTCTTTTGGCCCGAAGTGACGGTGCTGTCGCCGCAGCGCATATGCCAAGCTATAGGTGCACTGTACAGACACACATGCATACACACCTTCCTTGGTCTTCTTGTGGTCACCCCTCTCCCTCTGCAGGGACTTCTCCAGCCTGGAGCGATGCTCGTAAACCACTGTGGGAGAGACACAAATCGGTTCACATAGCCCACTCAACCTCTGTGCATCCTTTAGCCAGGCCCGTGAAAACACGTGTGCATCTCAATCATATCAAAGCCACAACAAACATCAACATCTTGGGCACGATTTCTGATAAATATTAAGTCATGAACCACTGATCAAATCACCCGAAATGTGCCTGATCTCATCATATTTCATAAACCATGCAGGATTTGAGCCCGAACAGTGGAGTGGTCACCACCATGAATAAAAGAGGTGTTATAGCCATCGGAGGGATACATATTCACAATGCCGTAGACACAACCATGACCACAAATGAGTATTCTTTGAGAGAAAACGTCTGAGTGATTTGTTCTTGCTTAAACTTATCTGCGATGTCCTCTTTAACCACAGCTGTGTTTGTCAACAGAACATAGAACAATATCCGTATAACACCTAGAACATCTCCTCCCAAAAACTGACTTTTGGTCACGATGGGATATAACACATTTTAAATTAAGGATAAGACATTCATTCCTCTGGTGCTTTATTGCCAGAAATTGTAAAACCTATTCTTGTTTTTCATACATTGATACTGGCAAAAAAGGTCCCATGATATGCATTCATCTACGAACATTTAAGTATAACTGATCTCGCTTTCAAAAGTTACCCACTCAAAAAACTATCCTTGGGAAAAAAAGGCAATAACGTCAGCTTGCAAGCGATGACGTGTTTCTCTTTTTGGGTCATGTCATCATTCCTATTGCCACGCGAAATTTTTCCTTTCAAGAACCCAATGCACACGCCGTTGCCAAGGGTTTCAAAATCACAATGACCATTTCTATGGTGTAAGTCTTACACGATGCAATGAAGCTCTTCAAGAAATATGTTGGGGAAAAAACTTGGAAGCAATCGGCTTGCCAAGTGCTTTTTTTTATTAAAGGAACAGGCTGCAACAGCTCCACTTCCTCGTGAAGGCAGGTTTGAAATACAGCCCGATGACAATCCCTAACTTGTTCATGGCGGTAGCCCATCAAAGCGCCTGGGGTAGCTTCAACTATGAATGTAATTGATGGAATAATTACATCCCAACTGGGTAAGCATCCGTGAACTAAGAGCTATTTAGTCTTTGAGTTGCATACTCCTTCAAGCCAGCATGTCAGATCCTTAAAAGAATAAAATATCTGCGAGCACAGTCATAAGCCCCTGCGCAGGCCTCCCACGCGCGTTATCTCGAGGGATATATTAAGAGCTTTCTGCCGCTTGTTTAATTTGAACGAGTTTCGAATTAAATTAATCCCCTAGGGGCAGGCAGTCTCTACATCTCCAACACATTCCTTTCCAAGAATGTCACATGTACAAAGTGAACCCAAACACACCCCCAGTGTGAGCAGACAGCGGGCGTCTTTGCTTGTGTTTAATACCGCTCGACTTCCCGAAATGAGGTCACCGGCTACACAAAACCAATACGATGCTGAAAAATGGCATCATCCATCATTATGCTACACTTTCAGCTCAAGGTCCACCGTAATTAAATTACATAAAGGCAGTTCCACGATTTTGAACGTAACATTTCGGACACTGAAGATGTAGGTGGTGGTAGAGCGGGTGGCTCAGTGGATAGTGCACCGAGCTATTTTAATCCAGCGACCCGAATTGGATGCCCGGCCACGATTAACATAAGTGGCGAGCGCTATCTGAACTGCTTGTCCTGGGCGTCCACTTCACCAACCCGTGCACTGACCAGCGTGGTGAAGTATGGTTAAACAAACCCCAATAACAACTGTGCTGGCTGGTCTTCATCCAGCAGTGGATTAACAAAAGGGCAATACAAATATTATTATTGCTATTCAATATGGGCATGATTATGAGCATAACCATGAAGTAATTTTCAACTGAGAAAAGTATTTCAACCTATTAGAACTGTGAATTTGTTCAACTTTTTGGAAAATGGAAAAATGCTCATAAATGCCACGGTATAAAACATAGGCATTTTCCATTCACACGGTCATATTCCATGTGTAGTGGGTTCCAGGACACGGAGACGGCAGAATAGAAGCAGCACTATTTATTTAAACCTTAACAAGGGTTACACTAGAAGGGGTAGCGGCCCCTCCACCCGTATAACTCAGGAACACACCCCAGGCTCTCTAGCCTAAGCTCTAGGCTCCCAGTTCCTCCTGGTAGGGCTCTAAGGGAGGCTATCAGATCTGGCCCTGGTTAGGCACAGATCTCGGCACCCCGCCGACCAGGCCGGCCCTTAGAAGGACTCTGACTCTGGGGCTCTGGGGCCGCACCACTGGCTTGCTGTGCCGGCCCTGAAAAGGGCAGCAGTCACAGGAGTTCCAGGGTCTCACCTAGCTGGCCTTCTTTCTTCACTGGTTGCTTCAGCCTCGGGCCCCACACTCTGCCCCGAGCTCCCTGGCTCCCCGCACTTTATACCCACTGGAGCCTTAGCGGACGTTGTTGTAGCCACCAAGGTGTGGGTGAACCACACCTTCCCGTGCCATGTGTTTATTCCCCATAGCACCCCTACACATGTAATGAGTCTTTCAGTTCACGATATACAGATATCGTGAACTGAAAGACAACATATTACATGTATTATAAGCATCGATGAAAAAAGGACAACACATTTGTCAATAACACTGCCTTATAGAGACAAAGTATGTAATACTTAAAAATAAAAAGTATATAAGACTATGAAGAAGGTCAATGGCCCTTTTTCACAGCTGAGTATTTATTTATTTGTGCACCACTGTATCACCAAATAGTAAGGATCACTCAGAAGATTTTGAAATTTTCGTTAAGGTCTCATTTGTGGAAATGCCCTTCACAATCAAACAAAAAATATGACATTGTGTGATATGGTTGTGGGTTTAACGACATATTTATATTGATGTGATCTAACCCTAAAAAAACGTTATTGTGGATAATATAGCACCGTAGTCCATCAGCCTATGGGGCCTTGTGGATCAATGTATTCCACCGCATTTGTTTAAAGATAAACTCTGGACCAGTTTAAACATTCCAAGTCTCATCTGCAGAGTACTGCCTGTTGGAGAGTCCACATTTTACTATTAAGACTCAGAAAGTTTTAAACTGGACCATAGTTTGCATGATTAAATATATATTTCTGGAAAACATTGCTCCATATTGGCCCACGTCGGTGTGTATAGTATAGTTTGCAATGTATGGACATTTTAATAAAAGCTGCTAAAAAATCATGTTGGGGAGTGCAATAAAAATGTAGTTCCCATTTTGTCCCAAAGAACACCAGCTGGGGAGTATATATAAACCCACATCTCTCAGTGCCTGCCCAATGTTGTTTAAAATACGTATATAATCAAATAATGTACCACCTGTCAATAATGCATGAGCATCTGCCAATGGAGAACTGCACTGTGATAGTGAGCTTGAATCCCAATGGAAAAGCCACGAGCTCAAATTCAGTTCCATCATCCTCTCGGGGGTTTGCTATGGGAGGTCAACAGTGATCGGCTCACAAATAGACTTGGCCCCGGCAAGGTAATGTGGAATTATCAATAATGGGTTTTGGGGAAGCCAATGGTCATGAGCCATGCCGAATGCTCATTTGCAAGGCCGCCAAAAGGGCACAGCGAAGGCGAGATATTAACTACCTCGCCTTGTGTACAGGAAGTTGGGGGTTCGATCCCGACCCTGACGCCTGTATATTTAGAGTTTGAATGTTCTCCCCGTGGTCACGTGGATTTTTCTCCACATCCTCTGGTTTACCACTGTTATTTACCATGAAAGATGATACATTGCTCAGATTTTTAACAAAGAATGTTTAATATGCTAAAACATATTATCCAGATATATTATGGATATAACGACATAATTATGTCTATGCAATTACCCTTTGCTTTATAATAGTCGTGTAAACATGCAGAGTGATGGTAATAGCTAGGTATGTATTATGCTGTTTTGTATACAGGATGTATATAAAGGACTGTAAATGTGTTTGAATTACAGTGTGCAATATGTCAATAGTATATATTATTAAAGAAGGCCCATTGACCAAATTTGTTTTGCGTTTTACAATACAGTACTATAAATTGATTGTTGTGGCGAGATGTGAAGTGCCTCGCCTGGTATACAGGAAGGGCATGGGTTTGATCCCGACCCTGACGCTTGCTGGATATTTGAAGTTTGCGGTGTCTCTTTCCCCAGGGTCGCGTGGATTTTTCTCAAGGTCCTCCGGTTTTTCCCTCCACATTTAAAATCAACATCACGCGTTTTGAGTATTTGGCTGCTATACATTGCCACGTGATAAGCCACTTCATTTGGCTATCATTTGTGGCCAGGTGACTTCTGATAAAGCTCAGTGGGCTATACCTGATAAATAAAAAATATAGTTAAAAGCTTTATAGTTTAAAACGATTTTGAAGGCCCAGGGAAAATCGAGGCCTCCTCTGAGGCCAACCTCGGCTCATTGTGAGGCCCCCCAGGACACGAGGCCTGGCACAGATTGCCTCACCTGCTGCCCCTTCACTACAGCCTAGCTCAACCACAGAGTTGGGCCCTCACCACTTTGACCTGGGACCTGATAAAGGTGAAGGAATAAGGATCGGACATGATACGGTGAGACTTTACTGGGAATTACCTTCCAGGAGCTGCACCCTGCACCCCCCCGCCCCGCCATACACACACACACAACTTGCAGTCTTTTCCAAGAAACCAGGAGAAACGTGACCAAGCCTCCAGCAGCGGCATGGTATACTAATTGATGCCAGCACTGTTCAAACGCCACACATGTTTTATATTCCAAGATCACGCCCATTTTGAAGCCGGCTTTATAAAGAAATTGGTTCCTAAGAAATAACAGGTTTCAAAAAAAGGAAGGTTTTTTTTTACTCTTTGTTTTTTTTCGGTAAAGTCACGTAGGTAAAATAAAAATAAAAGAAAACAATTAAATCACGACGTTTCGGAGGCAACACGAGCTTCCGTCTTCAGGTGGAACAGTCACAGCAAGATTGCTGCATCAAGATGCAGC